TCAGTCAGAGTCACATCTACAGTAGCCCCATGCAGCTCGACGCATCCCCCCTCTGTTTGGCGCCGGAACCTACATATGATTTGTTCTCTGGATCAGGCACCAGGATCCAGCTGCCGTGATTCAATAGAATTTCCAGCCCCGCGCAAGGCGCAGGCCGCAGGCTTTGCTTTTACTGCATACAACATACATACAGGGGATACTGCCCAGTCTAGTGTATTGATGTGCCCGATCTCCATCTCGAAGCTGTCAGGAGGTTACGATACCATCTACCAGGATGACGGCCACACTACAATTTAGATGGCACACCTGAACATCATGCATTGTCATCAATCGACGCTGCGGGACGTGGGTCGTCACCATTGGACGATAACATCTCACTAATTAGAATAGATACAGAAGAATAAGCAAAATAAGCCGAAAATAAATGCTCTACTGTTGATGCAATAGGCTCTCTCTCATAATTTTCATTTATTTATAATTTTTTAAAGTTCATCGATACCAAGACTGCTTTCGAGTAGACGCAAAGTCATCAACGTACATATGCAATTGTCTAAGTAGGCTGACTTTTCACCTGAGCCAGATATTTCCGATACGATGAATTGAATCAGGGCCTTCAGTCAACATGCATCTTATTAGATGGACAATACCTACCTCAGCGCTGAGAGTAGGTATCAATCTAGCGACTGCCGGTGGAACAGGATGCAATTCTTTGCGCCCTTGCATCACATATAGTTCTCTGCATCATTTGGCTACAGTAAGTTTTCCGGAAAGGTCGAGCCAATAGAAATACGTAGATTTTGCTTCTTTCAGACATTCTAAGCGAATGATGGCCCATTTCTGGCAAACTTTTCTGTTCACCTGCTGCAAGTCCCTAGCGTAGAGACGTCCACATACGTAAGTAAGTCCGGCACCCGAACAAGTCAGAAGTTTGGGTGACACAATCCGTACCGCCCTGCTGTTAAGCACCAATGGTAACAGTATCCTGGAGGCGATCTGCAGGTATTGATGTAACCTGGTTAGGCATGGAATGTGTTACCGCGTATGCCTCCTTTCACAGTTTGCTCCGGGCCTTAATCTCCCAATGTTCGTGCAGCTTGGTGTGGTAAAATGACGCCATCCCTCCTCTCATGCTTAATATATAGCCATGTTGGCGTAGTACGGACACCGTGGGTGATGGCTCTTGATTGGCGGTTCCAGCAAATAGGATATTTAGGTGTATCTTACTCAGATTGACTTCATTTTTTTTTACGATCTCCTAGAACCCACTGGGATTACAATACGCCCGGGACGAATGGCGTTGCACTGCCGAATCTTGCCTTGAATGTATAGGCGTGGATGCTGCTCGACTCGGTGCTGGCGCTACAGTAGTGTAATCGTAAGCCCGATGATTGACTGCCACGGCATTTTCCGCGTTACATCGGAGCCCATGATCTATAAGGGATCGTCCCAGTTGTGGGAAGCGAGGCCACTCAGAGCTTACGGGAAGCGCACCAAGAAGCAGGACGGAAAAGATGTCAGCTCCATATGATGTACATGACTTTGGAGGGTGGTATCAGGCTTGGAGATAGTGCCCCAGTGAAGAGAGGTCGATTTACACTAATGGACGAATGGATGCATGCATTCATGGTCACGAGAAAGGTACCGTAGGTCTAGTCGATGTTTGCATTGATCCAAGTGATGGGTCAGAAGGACGTTCTGAAATTCCTTTGCAGGAAGACGATGAGATTTGCATTCGTCTTACCACCATGATTAGATTAATGGTCAAGCTCCAGCAGTCCAGTTAGAAGTTTCAGTCTCCCGGGCCAAGAGAGAATCTCCTCAAACCACCACAACATCTATTTTCAATATGTCGTTGGGAATAACACACACCGCCTGGTCCTCTTACTCATCAGTGCATAGTATTCAATTAGGATGGCTCCTGCTGCAGGCATCGTACGCAAAGGAGCGAGAGCTGACAATATTGATAGCTCTAGACATTCACTCGGGCCCGAAGCAGTTCAGGCGGCGTGGATTAATCCCGTTGCCGGCAATAGTCCAAGGTGGTTGATACTCAAGGTTCTTGTCAATAAGAAATGATCTGGATGCCCAGTGCTGTCCTCTGGGTATGCTACGTCTGGTTAAGGCTTTTCGAAACGTCAAATAAATGCGATTTGTCTCACTTCAGCGGCGTCAATGTCTCGTCTGCGCTGGAACGACCTGCAGAAGCCTTCTACTGAGTAAGCATCCAAGACACACGTCGTCCCTTTAAACATCTCCCGAGACCAGCCACGCTACCGAGCTGAGCAATGCAATGGAGAATCTAGTTTTTCGCAGCTAGATCACAGTCTCCGGTCGTAAGCAGTACGCTACGGGTGGAGTAGGAGTACTCGTTTGAGCTCATCGAAAGTCGCCTACTTGCAGCCAATCATATTATCGCTTGGTATGAATTTTGTGACTGGCCCGCCTGTGTGTTCGTTGCTGACGGTGAGATCTCATTCCGACGTACTACGTAAGCTGGCGTCCGCCTTCCTAGCGTTCACACTTGGTCCGAACAGCTGGCTGAAACAGAAGGCGTTTGCATAGAGAAATATCTGATGACTGGATGTTGCTAGTGCGCGGCCACGGTATGCGGGTTGAGATCGGATATTGTTCGTGAAGAAAGTAAGCAAACGTCGTGTTTTGTATAATGCCTTGGCACAGCGCAACGATGAGTTAGTTACCTTCCCCTAAGAATGACGAGAGGCAGGTAAACACCCAAGCATTCAAGTTCAACGTGACCTAAAACGTGGGCGCACCGAACCAAGCATATTACTATACTATACAATAGACAACCTGTAACCGGATTGGTTCGCTGCCCTCCCTTGCTTGGTCATGGGAACCCCTCAAAGATTCATCCGAATCATATTATACATGGTATGCTACTACTATATGAGATGTCAGGCAGGATCCTTGCTGGGATAGATTCGTTAAAAAGATCCGTACTAGGTATGGAATCATGGAGTAGGCCCGGGAAAGACTCACAGCCTACTTCAGATCATTGTGTAGGCGATCTCAAATGAGCGTCTCTATCCGTTTCTGAAAACTTGTATGGGTAGGATGTATTCAAATATCCGACATGAGCACATTAAATCCGATAACATAGGTAGCTCTTACGTTCAATTCAATTGGTATAACCACACCATTGAGTATGAGGTGTCTGGAAGCCGGTATCTGCGACGCACGCACCTTGACTGACAGGCCACCACATACTCTACCCCAGGAAATCCTGTTCGCAATTACTTGGTAATAACACAGAAAGTGACGACTAGAGAATTACAGAGATCTCTCCCTATCCCTGTCTCGTCCCAGGTTGTCAAGCCGACCTTGTGTTCTTCAAACTCCAAGCGTCTCAGCCCTGTAAAACATCCAACCCCCTTCAGATGAAGCCTGCGACCCACGCCATGGCATCTTCTCAAACCCAGGACCCTGCATCCCACATGGATTCATCCCAAGAGCAGTTCGCGTTTGGGACTTCCTCTCCTCTCCTACTCTTCTCCTCCGTCCTCCGCCATCCCGTACAGACGGTACGTAAAACCTTAAACAGAGGGTCCTGGACCCCTTTCCCTCCCTTCCTCCCCTGTGTCACATCAGTCTGCGCCGATTGTTTATCCTCACCTCGACCCTGGCGCTCCATGTTTCACGGTTTCACCTGGTGACCCTAACCCCCTGACACTGACGAGATCGTCCATGCCCCCAGGCTACTTAGTAGTCTACACTTCATGCTACTATAAGTAAGTACTTAAGTAAGTACATGGGCTGGTCTCCCTGTACGTGGGATCTGCAGCCATCTCGCGTCCGCGGCGATAGACGTCTCAGATGCGGCGGATCACAGCACATCCGGGAAACAAACCCAGGAATGGTAGCGGTGTGGTTTAAGACCTGACCTTGAGACTTGAAGAGCCTCACACTTTCAGTCCGACCTAACCTGCCTCTTGCATCGCGCGATTCTCGTTTTCTCTCTCTCCCCCTCTCTCGGAAACGATTCGCCGCGCAACATTTGGCGCACAGAGGCGTCGAGGTCGTGTGGTATTCGGGGTCCCTGTCGTCTCAAGTTATTATTATCCCGTTGTCATATTACCTCCGGACGGCGATCATTTTGATGATACGATGGACTCTGCCCCGCGAGATGACGTGGGGATATTCCCGAGTCGAGGGCCTGATAGCAGATGCTCATTGCGTATAGTCACCTGAGACACGCTTGGCGATATACCGAAGCTGATTGTATCGTAAATGGAGAGCCCAAGTTGTCGCATACCAGGCGGTGGTGTGGTTTATGGCTTCTGACTATCGCTACATGATTTTGGTGTTTTAGATTCTTTGCTTTTCGGCAATCTTCATACTTACATAACCCGTTGTATACTGGAGAAATATAAGCTAATTGTTACACTGTAGCCTTGAAGAAATAAAGCAAGTACTATGTACAGAGTATAGGCCTGTAAGATGTCCAGTTAGGGCCCCTGGCGCGACAAGAAAAGTCCATTACATCCCCATTGTCTCGAGGACTAGGCGTGAAGGGTTGACAATCTCCAGATCAACTCTGTATGAACCAAGCAGAATCCGTTCAGTTCTCAAGGCCACGCCTTGAACAAACCCCTAGTCTTTAAAATGGCATACATAGCGACTTCATAATAGCCGCGGTGCTGGAATATACACACGTGTTATATATATCGTGGCGTCGCCGGCCGTATGTAATATATCTCGATAAACATGGGATTTACTACTTAACAAACAAGTATTCGATGAGCTAGCTCACCTACATCTCTTAGTTAGAGGCAAAGTTATACATGTATATCTTCAAATAAGCTAAGCTTAAATTTCAGAAATGAACCGTGCCGCAACTGCATCTTTCATCGGCCATGATCCGCACACTGAAAATTTAGGCGATCAGTGCACATTACGCGTGTTGCCAATCAAATCTACTATGTGCTTTCAAGGTGACATGCAATGTCTTTAGTTTCGACCACGAATATCAACTAGATCAATTTTTTCGTGTATAGTCTGAGAGATTTTATTGTGTTTTTGTAGATTACATGACTATTTTTACACCTTATTTTCATGATGGAGGTTATGATGTGCAGATCTTAGCACCTTTTTCAACTATATCGTCCTGCCAGGTCACTACCAGCTTATAAAGCAGGAGATATGGTCACGGTATAGGTTAAGTGCTCCAGTGCTAACCAGCGTCGTCATGTCCCGGTCAGCGTAGGTGAACATGCTGTGACTTAGGACTTGTAAGGCTTGGGACCGATCATGAGCTCAGGCTTGACCAGAGTGTCAAATTCTTCCGATGTCAAGGCTTCGAGCTGCATAGCACTCTCCTTGAGGGTGAGGCCCTTCTTGTGCGCGTTCTTAGCAACCTTTGATGCCATATCATACCCAATCTTAGGGTTAAGGCAGGTAACAAGCATAAGCCTGCAGTACAGTTGTTAGCAAATTTGCATCACATATCGAACTGATGATAGAGTAGCACTTACGATTCCTTCATAATGCTAGCAATCTTCTCCTCGTTGGCTTGGAGACCCTCAACTAGGTTCTTTTCAAATGACCGCATACCGTCCGATAGTAGTCTGACGCTGTGAAGCAAGTTACGGATCATAAGGGGTTTGTAGACGTTAAGCTCGAATTGGCCGTTCATGCCACCAATCGTGGCAGCAACATGGTTGCCCATAACCTGGGCGCAGACCATTGTCAAAGCCTCGCACTGGGTTGGGTTGACCTTGCCAGGCATAATGCTAGATCCGGGCTCATTCTCTGGCAAAACAAGCTCGCCAAGGCCACAGCGAGGGCCACTGCCGAGGTAACGGATATCCTGGGCAATCTTGTTAAGCGATGCGGCCAAGGTGTTTAGAGAGCCCGAAGCTTGAACGATAGCATCGTGGGCAGCGAGAGACTCGAATTTGTTGGGCGCAGTCTTGAATTCTGTGCCAGTCATCTTGCTGACCTCCTCAGCAATCCCCTCAGCAAAGCCCTCGAACGTGTTGATACCCGTTCCCACAGCAGTGCCACCTTGTGCGAGGAGCCTCAAGTCAGGCAAGGAGCTCTCCACACGCTTAATGCCGAAGTCTAATTGAGCAACATAACCGGAGAATTCCTGACCAAGTGTCAAGGGTGTGGCGTCTTGAAGATGCGTCCGTCCAATCTTGATGATGTTTTTAGCATCAAACTCATCGACCTTCTTCTGAAGGGCGTCACGGAGGCTCTTAAGCGAAGGGAGCAGCGACTCCTCGATCTCGAGCACAGCAGCAATGTGCATGACAGTAGGGAAAGTGTCGTTGGATGAAGCAGACCGGTTCACGTGATCGTTGGGATGAACGGGCTTCTTGCTGCCCATGGTGCCACCAAGGATCTCAATAGCTCGGTTTGAAATGACCTCGTTGGCATTCATGTTGGACTGCGTGCCGGAGCCGGTCTGCCAAACCACAAGGGGGAAGTGGTCAATGAGTTTGAGATCGGCAACCTCAGCAGCGGCTTGCTGAATGGCTTTCCCGATTTTCTCGTCTGGGAGCGCAATTGTAAGCATGAGCGCCAATACTTTTGTGCCATGCCTATAATTGGAATCGCACTGGCGGGGAATCGAGCAGTCGCCTACATACCGAGTCCATATCGCATATTGACAGTAGCAGCAGCTCCCTTCAGAATACCAAAGGCCCTCACTATGGGAGGTGGCATCCGATCTTGGGGCTGGTTGATACGGAAGTTCTCGAGGGATCGCTCAGTCTGAGCGCCCCAGTACTTGTCGGCAGGGACTTGAATCTCGCCAAAGGCATCGCTCTCGGTTCTGGTGTTGGCGCTCATTCTGACGGACGTGGCGTGGAGACTCCTTTGAAAGCGGAGGGGATAGTTCGATTTGGAGGAAAAGCTGGCGGGCTTCACGGGAGAGGCCGCATATGATGACGAGGAGGGGGCAGCCGATGCGGCGGATGAGGAGACGTTGGAGTAACATGTGAAAAGGGCCCGTGGAGCGATCCTCGGCCCTACAAGGGACCGGCCAGCGGCGGCTGGAGCTCGTGGAAGTGATCGAAGCATGACGGCAGCAGAGTGCGACGTTGTGGGCGAGGTGCAGGGAGCGGCAGATTGAAACAAGAAAAAAAGAATGAAACAATTGGATATTTAGACGATCGGCCAACGAGTGTCGAGCCCGGATCTCAAGGTGCGCCGGTAGGGTCGGCTGGCGGTTGGATTTCGGATGATAAAAGGCGCAAAAAAATCAAGGCTCTTAACGGCTGTAATTTCGTCGACGAGCTTCACGTACCTACCCGTCCCGTCCAGCCGGCCGCTGCAGAATGATCCGGAAACCCCCGACCTTGGCGGCCCCTTGGTGAGCTGGGGAAGGTACCTAGGTACCGGTACTATATAATTGAGGCATAATCACTTTATAGCCGCTAAAGATGTAACCAGGCGATAAAAAGGGCATGATAAAATGATAGCTGATGTATGGTCATGGCCTAACTAGCAAATAACTAGTATATTACTAAGAATACAAGCGGTATTGGTTCAACAATGAAGACCCCGAAGGAGTCCTACATCCTCCCTAAGTAGGTACTTCGTAGGTACCTATACTGACCGATAGCTCTGGACAGAGCTCTGGATTTGAGAGAAGGTGCTGTTGCAGGCAGGCGAGACAGGCGAGGCAGGCACCGCGGGGTAGCACCAAGCAAACGCTCGGCAGCATGTTAACCCCACTACTAAGAACCGCCATGGCAACTAAAAAAAAAAAGCTGGTGATTATCAAGCAGCAGAGTCATCTTCGATAGAGATCCATGATCAACTTTACTCTGTTAAAAACCTGAATTTGTCTTATAAATAAGAGTTTCGAAGCGACTTCATCGACGGAGACCTATTCTACTCTGCCCTGTCTGTTTTCTATCTCTTCTCGCCATACGCACAAACGCCAAGCAACCGTCTTAGCCCGTCATGTCTGCCCCTCATCAAGACGACATGGACGATGCGCCCGAGATGCTCGACGTCGATGATGCGCTGGAAGAGGTCGAGGATGTAGAGGGCGATATTGCGATGGACTCTGACGACGACGAGCCCATAGAGATCAACATCCACAACGACAGCGTCGCATACTTCGACGCACACAAAGACTCTGTATTCGCCATTGCCCAGCACCCCACACAGCCGACCTTGATCGCAACCGGTGGAAGCGAGGGTGAAGGGGATGATGCCCCAGGGAAAGGCTATGTCTTCGACACGAGCCCCGTTGTTGGCCGACCCGTCCTGCCCCCGAGCTACAACGCCGACCCCAGTGCGCCACAGCAGAAGAGCATCGGGCTCCAGCCAACTTTCACCATCGAGGGCCACACCGATTCCATCAACGCACTAGCCTTTACGTTGCCTCGTGGCGAGTTCTTGGTATCGGGCGGGCTAGATGGTCGCTTGCGCGCTTATCAGCTGTCGATCGATGCGCGAAACAAAGCATCCTTCAAGTTCGTAGCCGAATCACAAGAGGTACCCGAGATCAACTGGCTCGCACCTTGTCCAGTGCCCCCCAACTCCGAGTTAGCCGTAGCAAACACGATTGCGCTAGGAGCTTCCGACGGCTCCGTATGGGTCTACACGATTGATCCCACCGATGCCTCAAACCCACTTCAGATTGTCCAGAGCTATTTTCTGCATACTGAGTCGTGTACTGCTGGTGCATGGTCGCCGGATGGCAAGTTTCTCGCCACAGTCTCCGAAGACAGCTCTCTTCAGGTTTGGGACGTCTGGGGCGAGGCCGCAGCCAAGGGTCTTACTAACGATAATGGGCAAACTGTTGTCTCGCTGAATAGCTCTGACCAGCGGTTTGCCGTTGAAGGTGGATTGTACTCCGTCGCCATCGACCCAAAAACATCTTTCGTCGCAGTTGGCGGCGCAGGAGGTGCCATTAAGATTATCGGTCTACCACGCTTAGGTGTCGATAGCAATCCAGCTTCTAGTAAGCAAAGCAAGCCGAAAGCGAAGGGTGCTGATGCGGGAGGCAGCCAAGGTGGTACAATTCTAGCAGACTTGCACACTCAAGGCGATGGTATTGAGACCCTCAGTTTCTCGCCTAGCAACCCACTACTTGCCGCCGGTAGCGTCGACGGTAGCATCGTCATCTATGATACATCACGCCGCTTTGCCGTGAGGAGACACATCAAAGATGCCCATGATGAATTCAGTGTTGTTAAAGTCGACTTTGTCACGGGTCTCGGTGACGGCTGGCTGCTAACAAGTTGTGGCATGGACGGTGTCGTCCGGCGATGGGATGTTCGCGGCGCAGCTGGTACCTCAACGGAGAGCATGGTGAAGGAATGGAAGGGTCATCGTGGCGATGGCGAAGGTGGCGGCGTATTAGGGTTTGTTCAGGGTAGCACAGGTGAACGGATAGTAACGGCAGGTGATGATGGTATCGTTCTGGTGTTTGAGGCCTAGGAAGTCTGAAATATCACTACGTTTTAATCATTCCCACACCTTTAATATTCAAAGCGCATTGGACAACAGGGGGATGCTGTGCGGTCCATCCTTATTGTGGATTGGCGTTATGTGATGGTATTATGCATGCCAATCATCCCGACATTTAACTCCTAGAATTGTTCTGGTGATCTCACGATATTACAGCTACACCCTGGCGATAAGATACTCTCAATTGTTTGATGGTTCTCCGCATCACAATTTATTCCTAATCACGACTCCATGAATACGAGTTGAATTACATTTCAGATTTTTGCCAAGCCAAGCGCATGGCAATTTGTACATGACGCCTACTTCACTACCTATGAAGGGTATTCATTCTGCTTAGAAATTGCGTGCTATATCAGCTCACAGTAACCTCAAAGGCCTCGTTAAGACTCCACGTTCCATTCTTCGTAACAGGCTGATCTCCACCAAGGATCTTCACACTCTCAACGACAACATCGGTGGCGTAACCGAAAGTCCCCTCCGCTTTCAACGTCTGCCCGTCCCAAGTGAAGCTAATCTCAGAGTACTCGCTCCCCACATCTACGCTGTCACCATCGTCTAGGTACAAGGAGCCGCTCGCCTTGCCATCGGCACCCGGCGCGACGACGAGGGTGAAGTCGTTCTGGCGCACGAGCGCAGTGGTATTCCCCGAGGCGCTGCGCAGCGGCAGGATCGTGCCTCCGCGGATATGCACCGGTATATCCGTGAGCGCCACATCGTCAACGGTGACTGTGGCACCTGTGCCCTTCACAGGCTGCAGCGTCCAAAAGTCGTAAAAGACGTCGTCGGGAAGATAAAACGTCACAGAGGTCGCGTCGTCATCCGTGACGGGGGAGACGAGCAGCGCGTCGCCGTAGAACCACTGTAAGTCAATGCCGAATGTCTCCGCGTCGTTCGGATAGATGAAGAACAGCGGGTTCACGATGGGCGCACCCGTGGAAGCGGCGCGGCGCATGGCCGTGTAGATGTAGTCGAGCAGTCTGTACCGCGCGTCGATGGCTTTCCGCGCGGCCTCGGTCACGGACTCCCAGAGATAGAACTCCTGGTTCGGCGCCGAGATGTCGGCGTGGTTGCGGTAGAACGGCTGGAACGCGCCGAGGAGCGCCCAGCGCGCGCACATCTTCTCCTGCGCATCGCCGTTGAAGCCGCATACGTCTGACCCGACCATAGGCATGGCGTGGACGGCGGCGAAGGAGAGCATCTGGCTGATGGTCGCCCTGTAGTCGTCCCAGCTGCTGTAGTTGTCGCCGAACCAGTGCGCTGCCTTTGTGCCCGAGCCGGCGAATGTTGAGCGCGTCAGGACGAACGGACGAGAGTTCGGGCGGCGCTTGAGGAGAGCATGACGCGTTGCAGTGACCATCATTAGCCCGTGGATGTTGTGCGTGTCGTATTGCACAGTCCCGTCTGCGTTCGAATTGTTGGTGTAAAGCGTCTTGTCGCTGAGATCACCCTGATGGTTGTTGATGCGATAAGCTGGGGTGAATAGTTCTCGATCCGGAAGCCCTTTCATGTCCCCCTCTGAATCCTGCCGAGAGCGCAGTGTCTTGTGTGATGCAGGAGGAGCCTGCCTCTTGTCGCTGGCAGCTGCTTGTGACGGGTCACAGTTGACATCGTCGCAGAAGTTGGACACTTCGTTCATGTCGTTCCATGCGCCATCGATATCGAGGCCGGTCTCCGGATCAAAGAACCGAAGAATCTCGTCTGTCCACCAGTCCTGTGTTTTGGGCGCGAACCAATCTGGCCAGACCACCTCCCCGGCCCATTGAGTTCCGCGATATAGAGACCCGTCGTCGGCTTTGATGAAAGCCTCGGCTTCAACACCCCTTGAGTATGTGGCGTAGTCATCCTTATAAGCAATGCCTGGATCCAGCATCATGATGTACTTCTGGCCCCGCCGGTGCATCTCGTCAACAAGTTCTCTCATCTTGTCGAGAGGATAATTCTCAGGGTCCGTGGTAAATACTCTGCGGCTTTTCATGTAGTCTATGTCAGCCCATAGTGCCTCTAGAGGGATGTTGGCGGCAGAATAGTTCGCAACGACACCTTCTTCGAACTCAATGTCGGGCCATCCATATTTACACTGTTGAAACCCGAAGGTCCAGTACGACATCATGGCTGGGGCACCTATGACCTCAGCGTACTGCTTGGAAACATCTGTGGGACTAGGGCCTGCAAGGAAGTAGAAGTCTAACACCCCACCGAGGATGTTGTACTCCAGATACTGGTCGCCCGAGTCGGTCTTGTTGATGTTAATGTCCATACCGTTGGCATTTAAGAGAGCGACACCGTGACTTCCCGCCTCGCCGCGGTGCTCCAAGTAGTTGGGATGGCTTCCATAAAGGTTACTGTTGCGAGGGATAAAAGGGGATTCGGCGTTCCAGAGCGTACGCTTGTAGTTGTCCGTCGACAGCCGGAAGGAATCCGAATGCTCTCCGAGCCCGTACAGGTTAGGATTCTGAGGCAGCGAAGTTCGCAGGTTGACATATTGAGACTCGAAAATTAGATTACTGCCATTGGTGCTGAACAAAACCTCGCCGGAACCAGTGCGCGAGATAGAAAATGAAACCGGATCCTCTGTCAGCTGGAATTGGATTGCAGCGTCTGACGCGAGAACTCCTTCGCCGGAGGGTCTTGGAAGCACAGATTCTTGAATTTGATATACTTGGAGTCCGGCATCGTAGATTTTGACGTGAAGCCGGGATTCTGCGGACGAGTGAGCGAGTATCCCATGTGCGCAGGGATTGAATTCGAACCTGTTTGGTATTCAACGAGCAATTTGAGATCAGTGAGATCGGTGCCGTAGATGTTGCATGCCGTGCCTGCAAGGCTCAGGTCTGCAGTGAGCTTCCCCTCACTCTCGACGACATTTGAGGCCGTATAACCGGGACAATCGTCAATTGAGGCGGCGAGAGCTAAGGAAGCCGAAGCCAACACCAAGGATGAAAGGAACTTCATCATAAATCAAGTTCTCATTGAGTAATGAGAAAAGTGCATTGTTCCTGAGGGTGTTGGTTACCCAAGTTGACCAGACATTAAGCTTGTATGTTTAAATACATCAATTTGTGTCACATGTTCCGCATGGTTGAAGGCCTTCCAGCAAGCTACCTGCTCAACCAGCCTCACTGGTCATCGTCATCGACGCAGAGGGATGTTGATGCACAGATCGTGTAATACATATACGTGCTGATGCAACCCATTACATTGCGGGGAAGGCGGGCAGAGCGCCGATCATCCCCCTCAGCGTGTACAAGACCGGGGAAACCAGATCCAGAAACAAGGATCTTGGGTTGATTCAACTCATCTAAACTATCGGTAGGGCTTATCGGTCCGTCTTTTGGTCTACCAGAGGACGATGGAGTAGTATCCTTACCTTATGTAGTTATATGTCAGATGCATGGTAATTATCGTCTGCCATGCCTACCCATCCAAGTAGGTAGTCAAATGGTATGTAAAGACACAAACGCTAGCCAAGTTTTGGAGAAATAGGAGATCTCCCGAGTGTTGCATCATAGGACTGGATGTATGTGTGCGTTATCCGTTGGAATGTTACATGTAGTCATGTCATGGGAACATCTTCAACGGTCATGGAAACGGGATATAGCATCAACTACCTATTGTCGCAACTCGCATAACGCGGTGTTGCACCCAATAGCTTGGTTTTGAATAGGAGTAGACTAAAGTATAGCTCGCCTTCAACCGTGTCGACTTGTTCATCTAGATAGTGTACCGCGATACGCCAGCTTAACCCCCGGTCTGGATTAACATACGATCCTGACTCTGGCACGATTGACTGTATGACCAGTACATCGGTTTCTCGCACTTTTCACCACCTTCCATATAGCTATTCAGGCTTAAGACACAGTTTACTATTCGTGTTCGATTCAGTATCTCGCAAGGTGATAGTAGGAAAGACAGAGCCTGTCGATCTCAGGGATTATCCGCGCTGTCCTGCGAGCACCACCCCTCTCTCTTTCTGAGAGCTTGCGAACTATCGAGTCCTATGGTCGCTAACCATAGCTCATAGTAGTCTCAAATACTCCAGTTCTGGAAATTATGTGTCTGAGAGCCGAGGTGAGGCGGATCGGCCGTATTGTTAGCTGTAGCTGTTAACTCGTGCCACGTTTCGCATGAGCCGACAGGGTCATAGTGACCTGTTTAATGCCACAAGAGACTCAAGCAAGCCATTCTCGTAACGTATAGCGACAAGGGGATCCGGTGTAGTTGGAGAGCAATACATTATAGTGTTGCATGAGTGAATCCAACCTCACCCAGATTTGCCGCCGGATCCTTCAGAATTTAGTCTGGCTTTTCACGTGCCTTATCCCTCTTACAGATCCCTTTGGTTAATCCAAGCTGCTGAGTCACAAATCACTTCGTCAGTGACAGCGAAACCCGCCGATATGTTGAGTGTCGTGTATCCGAAGCATTGTCCAGGAATCTGGTTGATGTTGTCCAGTTGCTCATTACTTCGCCAACATACGACATTGCAAGTTTGGTTATTCCCGGTAGAAATGGCCGTCTTATTCTTGTCGTTGTAATTGACGCATGCATTTATACAGTCATTCAAGCTCTGTGTTGGCTCGTTGACCACGTCGACGCCATTGAGAACATGGCGAAAGCCTGCAGTACAATACTTGCGAAACGTGAGCGGCTCTTCATCGCCGTATGATACACTGTATGTTGTGTCATTGGAAGAGGGACAGTCGCGGAGAAGGATAGTCGTAGGGAGGACTACAGTTGATATTGATATCGTCGGGGCCGAGGTGGTGGTAGGAGTAGGAGATGAGGAAGGCGACGAAGGCGGTGAGGCTGAAGACGTTGAAGATATGTCCATGTTGGCTTCTTTATTTGAAGAACTTGAAGAATAATTGGCTCTGCTGGCAAGGCCGCCCGCCACTCCTCCAGCAACGGCTCCTATTACGAGAAATGTAGAGATTCCACAAGCAATTCAAAAAGTCTTGCGCCGCAACCCACAAATGGTTCCCTGTTTCTCTGGAGCTGATACTTGTACGTTGTTGTCATTTTCCTTGTAGTAGTATGAGGGCACAACTTCAGGGCCATTATCGGGAACGAGTTCAGGAGCCCTGCCTGGAGCAACCTCTAGATCCGAATATGCGTTGTTTGACATTTCGACCTATAAACAATGACAACATGCCCCTACTACAGGCCACAAACAGCTCTATCAACTTAGTTTTCTGAATGGTTAGAAGAATACAAGGCGCGTCGCAAATGTCTCTGTACTCTTATCTTTGTCTAGAAAATGCGTAGTTAATTTATTTCCCGTCCCCACACTAATTAGCATACGCCGTTGGATGTAAGTGTGAGGCTCATGCATCTAGGAATATGAAATTTATCGAGCCAAAGTGGCTCCGTCTCCCCGTCTAGTTAGACTACCTACTTTAATAGGGAAGCTAGGCAGTCTCGTCTTTTAGCTGCGCCTCGCGGGATCAGTGCGGATAAGTAGTAAGTGTATCATGATATAAGCTGTGTCATGATAGTGTACTATGGAAATAGAGGGAAGCTTTTCTGTAAAAACGCGATTTGTTGTAGACTTGTCGGAGCCTGTCACACGAATAGGGCCACCAAGACCTCCCGGTCTCATGAAACTCATGCACCCCAGGTCAGACAGAATAAGGAAATCCTAGACTGTATGAAATCTAGAGAGCATAGACAGCTCATAGTTTCTCCCATTCAGGAGGCGTGAGACCCCTAGAGGATTACTAGTTGAACACACCTAATTTGAATTCTCTGGTCCACGCCATATAGCCCTTGCCATAGGACTCATTGAAAGTCCTCGGATGGAATACGAGTCGCGCAAAGACGTGTCTGTCCGACAATAATATTGTACATACTTGTAATTACAAATCAAATCTGAGATGAAAGGACTGCCTCATAGATGTAAGCCTTGGCTCAGATGTAGTCAGATCTTATGCACTCAAAACAGCTAATAACAGCTGTACGCCATTTGGGTACCACAACCTAGAAATTATCATAGGAAGGCGTGCAAAACCTCGACTTCTCAGTCGGGTTTCCACTGCACTTCTGAGGGCCATGAGCTTGCCATAGTAGTATAATAAACTTATTTTATGCAATTTCAATTAGTTATACCGTCATAGATTATTATTACTTCCGGGATCTTTTATATCGTAGCAATTTCGGTTAACTACAGGTCATTGAAAGCTCAAGTGAATGCTTAATAGCCACATTCGTCTCTGGCCTAGTTGAGATTGATAGAGTTGCTGCCAGTATCCTCGTTACTCCTATGTGAATGCAGAATATGACATATCGCTAGCATTGCAAATGAATTAGTATCAGTCAAAGTTCCGTTTACGTTAATTAATCTGCTGGTCAAACGGCACAGCCCATGCTTGCAACGAAAAACCATATGCCCATCAATATTCCACTTGCGTGGTCTCGAAGAGTTGCTACCAAGTAGTTACTATAGGGCCTTGACTCCAGTCAATGGGGTCACCGCTCACCATTTCTCCCTACCAAAACAGTCTTGTTAGCTTAACTCGGATGGCTAAGGTGAGATTCTAGTACTAGGTTATTCTGTTCTTATAGAACTCGCGTGAGCAATATGTATATGAAGGTGTAAACGTGTGACCCCTCTATTGAAGTTGGCTGTGGCTAAGCGCAAAATGGGCTACCATCTAGGTATCCGTATTTGAAGGTCATCATGCTTCAGGTTTCCTGCCCCAAGCTCTAATGAACACATAATTGACCTTACGATCTACAAAGTCCCTTTTAAAAGCTGCAACAAGCTCATCCATCTCCTCTTGCGTGGTCATGCCCTCGACACCACCTAGACTGATAATTCCCCGAAGCGATTGTTCAGCAAATGCTTTCACATGAAAATTAATTCGCGCGATCCAATCTTTCGCGTTGTGGGTGTACAATTGCGAATTTCCGGGGTATGCCTTGTCATCGCACTCAACACAGCCAGCTTCTTTGATATAGTATAGCATACCGATGGGCAGACTATTCTTCAGTCAGTAGGAAGCCTACCCAGTAAATCCGTGGTGATAACTGACTTTAGGTCTCTTCCTACTTTCTTAGCGAATTTCCAGTTTACTTCCTGAAATTGATGCCATGCCAAACTCGGCGGCTCAACAGACCCTACGAGCTGCGACCTGTAAGCATACTACCGGGCCTGAGATTCAACGGCCAAAGGATGCCACATTTCCATCATATTTGGAGAGCAACTCACTACATTAGAGTCAGCCTGAAATTCCAGATGAAGCACTTCATACGTACCTGGTCCAGTCTCAGCCCATACGATATAACCCCCGGGCTTAAGGAGGGTCATCAAGTTCCTCACTAGATCTGTCCCCTGTCCTTCCTTAAGGGCAAAGATGATCAATCGCACGTTTACGATGTCAAATTTCCCATGAAGGTCGCTAGGGAAGGGTTCGTACATATTGGCCTGTCTTAGCGTGATGTTGGAGGGCAGTGAGGCCGGGAATTTCGACGTGTCATAGTCCAAGCCAACAAGCTCTGCATCAGCAGGTAGCGTCTTAGCAATCTCTGTAAGCCAAATCGCCGTTCCGGTAGCGATTTCAACAATCTTTGGAGGCGTTGGCGAGTTCGAGAGTGCGGATGAGATGTGAGGGGGCAGGAGATCGTTTTGCATCATGTCGTCAAACAGACGATGCTGTCTATTCAACCTTTCGTGTTCGGACTCTGCGGCCCCAGCATTAAGAAAATAAACCGACTCGGATTCCACGTTAGGCATCTTGGATTTTCGTGCTGTTATTGCCTGTGTCTGATACTCGTGTACTACTAGAGGGAAGGGTGCGAATGTCCAGACTTTCAAATTGCAGTGAAAGTAGACTTATCAGCCGTTAGATAGTCAGCCAGCCGTAGTCAGAGTCTAAAATAATAATGAGTTAAGTCATAAGCATCCCGAATGTCTCGGGAAAGGCCCGTATGTATATATATGTCATCAAAGCCGAATAATCAAAGCCACCCTAAGGGGTTATGTGACTACAGACCCCAACAGAAACCTCGGGTCCTTGTATGCAGATGGCATTAACAAATCACAACGAGATACTCGTTACCGAATCTTCTTATACAAGGCCTTAGACCATGTCTGTGACGACTGCATCATACGTTTCCGGGCCATTTCTTCTGCGCGGGGTGATGGATCTGTATTGATGCAATCGCTAACCCTAGGACGGATGGATGTGGGATGGACATGCAACACTCAGCGCGGAGTAGTCTCATTACGGTGATTGCATAGTCTGTGCCCAGTAAAAGCAACGTGGGCCACATAGTATTGGTATGCTGCATACATATACATGCAGACTATGTATGTAAATCTAGTTACCATTTGCGTAACAGGCCCAATAGCTGGCTCAACAGAGTATCTGTGTCTATCAACTACTGAAACCAAAGACTGAAAATGTACCAACTAGGAAGCTACTATCCAAGGCCAGTGTTATCACCTTCGCCTCTATGCGTAGTTTAGTTTTCAGCTCCCCCACAATGCCGCTACTGCCGACTAGGCTATTCTTGGGCATGTAAACTTAATCTTGCCACGTATGTTGTGAGTATGTGGGGAGAGATTTTGGAGTTGTTAGTAGAATCTGGACGGCATGTTACTTCTCCCAGCTCGGTGCATTCGGCAGATGGATTAAGAGTCTGAAGGGGGACGATCTAGTAAACTGAACATGTAGGGACCTGATATTGTGAGCGAGCTAGTGCTCTACTTGGCCAGTTACTTAGTACTTATCTAATTTTAGGCCTATCTAAGGTGTCACGCTGCATATTATCGGCTTCTACGCGGTGGATCTTCTTAATCTGGAGAAGCTGAAAAGATGTAGAAGCCTGTGTGCCATTCGGGAGATCGGCTTGGTTCCGGCATCATGCAAACCGGTAATTAACAGACATATATTAACTTGTATGAGCAAATACTTTCTCGAGGATTGCAAGGATTCCAAAAGTGATATGTCAACTATAGGTAAATCAGTCCACATTCCAACGAATCAAAGGTTACCAGATCAGCAACCAAATACAGAGGAGTATTGAAACTTGAATATAATCGCTTTTTGCTTCTTTCTTCTTTTCCCTCTTTTCACTCTGCAACGAAAAGGTCAAGAACAGATCTCTTTGGCGATAGCGAGTTCTATCACCTAGTGTTTGAAATTTTCTTAACATGCTATCTAACTGTAAGTTAGATACGCAAGTCAATCTGGAGGCTTAGTTTACTAAATATTTTAAAGAGTAGATTCGCAATGCGAGGCCCAGGGAACTAGCAACTATTCTAATAATTAACATGTTCATTGGATCGGTGGCTAGGGCTAAACTCAGGTAGCCACAAGCGGTTGTTTGTATATGTGGCATAGGTACCTCAGCTGTTCATCAGTCCAAGCCACACTCTGCATTTCAGTCACAATACTTATATTCACGAGGATAGAGGAGCTAGGTAGTTGGAAGGAAGTTGTGTCTAAACGAAAAAGACATGTCTCATTTCGTGACCAAGATGGAGATTTCAAAGCTTCATCCCCTGCTCACCGACTTTACCTAAATGGGTATCTCAACGGTTGTCATTCAGCCCACCTGGCCGAAGCTGGCAGTCGTAGACATATAATTATACAGATCTCGTGAAAACGTAAACAAAATTATACCTTAGCATTCAAAGTCATTCAGACAACGCGATATTCCAAACCCCGAAAAAATACCGCCCCGATCATATACGGCAGTTTTATGCATATAACGGCTTAAGCTTGAGCAACAGGCCATTGTTCGGCTTGATAGTGATAGCGCCCTTTGGTAAGATTTTGCTCTCATCCATAGCAAGATCCCACGAGAAGGTACGGATCATGGAAGCAAGAAGACAGCGCATCTCTGCCTTTGCAAAATTCTGTCCAATGCAGCTTCGCGGGCCGTGGAGAAAAGTCGTAAACTCGTAGTTGCTGTCTGCGCCGCCGTTTGAGTTGGGTTTACCAGCGGTGATCCATCGCTCGGGTCTAAATTCGCCTGCATCTGGGCCCCAAAGTTCGGGGGAGCGGTTCATTTGCCACATTGAGAGAACGACTGTCACACCCTCAGGAATGGCCTGGGTTCCGAGATTCGTGTCACGGGCCGCTTGGCGCAGTGTCAGGGGTACAGTTGGGTATAAGCGGAGTGTCTCGTTCATGATGCCATTGAGTATTGGCAATGGCTCGAGGATTCCAGCCAAATCGGTAGTCTTGTCGATCTCCATGTGCTCTGGGAGAGCCTGCCGGATTTCTTCTCGAAGCTTCTCCTGCATGTCTTGATGCTTGGAGAGCAAGTAGCACGCCCAGCTCAGAGCGGACGATGTTGTCTCGTGCCTAATAAAAGAATTACAATTAGCATGATGCATATTATGGCCATTGAATAGCCAGCTCTGGCCCCTAAAAGGTTATCGTACCCTGCAGCCAGGAAGGTTAAAAGCTGATCTCTAAGCTGGGGGTCAGTAAAGTTCCCCGATTTAATAAGGAGCGACAAGATATCGAAGTGGTCATCCTTTGATTTGAGGATTGCATCCTTTTTCTCGTGTATCATGGGCATACAAAAGTCGCTGAGAGTAGTTGTCAAAGTTCTGAACAAGCTGTTCATCTTCCACGGAAGCAGCCTCACGAAGTTGAGACCGAATACAATAGAAGTCATAGCGAACAGAAGTTTCTCCGCCGCGGGCTCAAGAAGCTGTTCGTAGATGCCGAGAATTGGATCCTCGGCCTTCTTCAGCATATTGAACTCGCGACCCATACCCGCTACACCGATAATGTCGAGAGTGACCCGACTCGTCCAGTTAGCGAGATCGACAACGCCCGTATTTTTACCTTCTCCCGTCTCGAGAGCTTCGTCAAGCACTTCGCACATGAGAACAGACTTGTTCCACATCATAGGGTATAAGTCCTTGATGTGGCGACGGCCAAAAGCTGGCATGGAATTCTTTCGCAGAAACTTATGCTGGTCGCCCTCAACCATAATGAGTCCGTCGCCGAGGACGTGTCGTAGAAGCCCGCTGAGCTTTGGAGGCTTGATGAAATCATATGGCCTGTGGACAAGTAAATCAGGCAGAAGTCGTGGTGATGTGACTACTACTTGGTAATCAAAGGCGGTGAGATTGAGAATTTCTTCGTTTGGGTACTGCTTAACGAGTTCAAGAAACAGATCCCCGCCTGGCCTATCCTTCTCGATTAGAGTCCTGTGGGCAAGACTGATAAAGTTCTGTGCGGCTTGGTAAGTATTCATCACATCTGTCCTGGTAGCGAATATGCGGAATGTGGTGAGCTTACTCTTGGGCCCTTTAGACGTCTAAGGGGGCTAAGGAATCTAGGGTAAATGAAACCCCAAAATAACGCTGCAAACGCATAGTTCACGAGAAAGATCACAGCTACGATTTGTAGATGGGCGTTCAAATTGAAGAATCTGGAGAAGGATTCCACATAGAACTTGATTACAACCGAGGACTCGATTGTTGCGATGAGTGTGAGACTCGGGAGGCTCAAGATCTGAACTGCTGCACCCATGGCGAACGATGTGAATTCTGAGATAGATGGAGGGTTATCTATTATGTTGATAGCAACAAAGAAGCTATATCTGGAAGGAAGAGCGAAGCTAGGAAATATATGCCTTAGGTTGCGAAATTCAACAAAGCCCTTGTATAATTTCTTGTTCGACGTCTACGGGGCCCTCCCGCTAAAGCTATAAATGCTGTGGGATACCGCGCCACTAACGTATAATATGTGATGGAGAGGTGATGCTTAGGTGTCCAAATATCTCAGAGGCCGGGATATGAGGTTACTAAGTGATAAAAAGTCTCAAGCTATGGAAAATAGTGCGCTTGAAGACGCTCTAATGGGGTTCCAGGGACATCGGCCACGATGGCCGGGACGTCTTCTCGCCGCATTTCAGGGACATGTGGGCCAAGTTGAGATGCCAAAGACGACAAGATGCCCAGAATTGGGAATAGCAAGACCTGCCAAGAGCCGCGGCTTCGTACGATCGCCGCGTTCAAGCGCTAGGCAGAGGTACTTGTTCCTCATGTCCCTCTTATCCGTCCCAAGTATAGAGGCGTTGCATAGTGGCACTTGAACATGTCGAAGCTTTTGCGGAGATGTGGAGTGACCCCACGTGGAAGGCTTGGCCAAGATCTTGATCATCTTGGTCTGTCTTCCTAAATCTCTAACTTGACTTGAGCCATCATTGGGCCCTGCACATCGCAAGGTAAGCCGGTTCGGGTTTAGCCTGCGAGGCGTTTATATGTTGCCGCAACGCCAGTTTCTACGTAGGTTACTTAGATATGTCATATATACTCAATTCGCGAACATGGCTCGCGAGATAGGTCCCCTACCTAGTACATAACTTAGATGTATCGGTCCTTCATCTACCCTTGAATAATCTCTATTAATTATATTATATAATATTATCACATACTTTCCATTATCCTCTCGACGACACCCTGTTCGTGAACTGCCCGCACGACAAAGAGCTTCGCAAACTAGTACCAAAAGAACGTGATGTGGTATATGATTGTTCCTTAGGACATGAAGTGTCCTTCTGTAGCCCTTATCTCATGACAGTACACAAAATTCTCATGAGAGCTACTTAGTGTTGGGAGACTAGTTGACTCGGCGTCGTAGAAAATTTAAAATCTGGGCTGATTCCGCAAGGCTGATCACCGCGGATGAACAATTCAGGATTACGGCTTCCAGCAAAATATCCTAGTGCCTCGCCCGTGATGATCGCTACTAATGAGAGGACGGCGACACACTAGCTGATTCACGCATTGCTAACATTCCCATAGCACGGACCAAACTTTGAGTTCCGCGCCGTTGCGGTGCCGAAGAGCCCATGGCTGCTTGTTGCTCCCATGACATAGCGGCCCTAATTCCGATAGCGGATTTCACTAGAAAGCCTGACGTTAGTTATGACTATTCCTAGCATGACATGCGTGTATGGAAGACCGAGGCCTAGTAATTATTTTCAAGGGTACACATGCGTTCAGAAGGGTTGAGCTGAGGAGGCTATGACTCCAACGGTACTTACTGCGATTCAGAATATCTTGACTGGCCCGTCTCTGCTCAGTTGTTGCATAAGCGCAGTATGTGACCAGCCGTATCGGTTGGAGCACGACCAATGCAGCAGCCCCATCCTGGGGACCGGAGACGGGGCCTCCGTCAGGACCGCGGTCTCCCATGGCGAATGGCACGCAGTATAGCATATCGTCAATAGCTAAGCGAATGGTTGTCTCCAGCACAGGAATACAGTTCGCCCATGCCGTCTTATCACCAAGCCTCCAAGTCTCCGTCTCTCCACAAGACATGTTTATCACATCGTAATACTCCAGTATACTCAACAGAAGTATCAGACGAGCAGCACGAACCAATATTATGATGCATGCGGTTTTCGGGTCATAATAAGTCCCCCTTGTAGCAAGTTCGCCCAAGGCAGCCGGCATGATCCGGCCAGCAAAAATATTCTTCCAGTATGGCTCAGCCTCTATATCCCAGCTATCGAATTCTTCGAGAGCCTCAAAACAAGCACGTAGCGTGGACTGGTCCGCCTCTTCTGGGCCCTCTTGGCTTCCCGATGGCGATAACCCTCCCAACCCCTGATCTTTCTCAAATCTCGAAGCATATTCCAGTAGGTTGTGCCGCAAACATAGGGTCTTCGTCATCAAAGACATAGCGCGCATCATTGGGTCGAGGAGGCCGAGCAACGCCACTAAGCCTCCTGGGTCACTATACTTGTTGTCTTGATGTAGAAAAGTATATACTTGCTTTGGAATTCGTAAGCACCCATATTCCAATCGCGAGGCAAAAGAAGGCAGAGTGTTGGTAACGTAGTAGTGTAGTGGACTTACTAATCTCAAAAGTGCCAGGAGGAACAACTCAAATCCCCTGCTCGTGCAGAGTTGCTCTATACCTCTCTTTTCAAGAAGGTAGTATAAGCCGGAGACATGTTCGCTCGGGTCACCCCAGCTCTCTTCACCAATGTCCTGTTCAACAGTTAGAATCTACGGGGTTGGGGATTGGGGATTGGAATCGGTCTCTCACTTTGAACATGCACAACAGCAAGACCGCGGCAAGAACCCTATCATCAGTGACTTCTTCTTCGGTCTGTATAGTTTTCCGTAATGCTTGTAGGGCGCGTCCATAATTTTGGTACGACTGCAGCCGAAATTTGTCGCCGCGGAATTGATTATAGGCTGCCATCTGGGCAACGCTTAACGTGGCCAGTTCCAGAACTCCATGGCCGCTGTGGTTGAAGAGGCTTGGAAGGAAGCTCAAATGGCCCGGAAGGCTGTCATCATCATTCGGCGTCACGAAGCGACGAACGAAGTAGCACAATGATACGTCATCGTACGAGACCTCGGGTTGGGGTGTGATGCTAGGTGATCTTGGCCTACTGGCTACCCGTACCACAGCACGATTATTGTTGGTCTTATGATGTTGCGCCCGTGCCGTACCCGGCACAGAGGATTCTTCCGGGCTCTTCTCTGGCCGCGACGAACTCCCTTGCTTCGAGGAGGCCTTGTCGAAGCGGAAGTGAAACTGATCAGAGTAACCCGGGCACGGCTTCCCGTAGATGATGCAGCGCCGACATGATGGCCTACCCTCGTCGCACTAACCCAGAGAAAAGGTCGGGCGTTAGCCACATGTGAGCCTCTAACCTGTTGGAGCACCTGATAGGCGAGGTCGAGAGCAACCCCTCCTCACAAACCCCGACCGGTATGGGACTAACTAACTCACTTTGACCTTGCGCTGTCGACAGCGCTTACAGCCCGTGCTGAACCGACCAGGGAAAACCATATCGGCAGTGCTAAGACACAGGAAGCAATGGCCTGCAATGGCGAAGGAGCCGCGGATGTGGGAGCGGAAATATGGGGATGTGCGGGACAAGATACCCCTAATGATAAGGGAACTGAGATATAACCAGCGATGAGAATGCCGAGTGTTGAGTCGACGTGAGCCTGGGCGACACCTGAGGAGAACTAGAGCGCCCCTTGACTTGAACGCGCCCCTCCTTGCCCCATCTTGGTCCTCGACCCTCCACTGATCCCCGTGTTTTCATTCCTCCAAGTGGCTTAGATTCCGAATATCGCCGCCACGTCTTGGCAGGGTAGAGCAGGTCTCCGGAGCGGACCCTTCATCTACTAAGCTACCCGAGCTACCCTAGTATGCATGTAAGTACATGGACATATACGGAGATGCCTACGTAATATGCATCAAAATTGGCTGCTGAACTTGGCCGAGGTAGTCCGTCTGCTGGACACCCAGGTTGGGAAGTCGAATGGACGTTGAGCTGGATCATCGTAATTAAATAGTGGTTGCGTCAAGAGCGATGGTTTTGCCTACTCTCGCCGTCATGATGGAATGCCATCAATGCTGTGTGGATTCATCTCATCTCGAATATAGCTGAGTACTCGGAACCAGCTGTGAGAGCATCGCCAATTCACCATGCCGTCTTCCCTACTGTACTCACCTGTCCTTGACCTAGGACCAGCACTACGAGAGGTCTTCCTGTCACCGCTCTTGTCTGGGCCGCTTCTCCTGGCCGTCACATATGCGCCTGATGCTGTACGAGAATTGCTTTCGAATATAGCGATCAGACTGCCTGCTCTACAAGGGCTGCTATCCAATTTGGACCCATCTACCGCTGTCACAACTTTGCGCCTTCTCTTTGCTGTCAGCGGTGTACATTGGCTCAACCGGGCTCTTAACGAGATGGCTGCGAATTCGTGGCGTTTGACGGCGAGCAAAGGATGGGATTGGCCAAACGAAATCGCAGTTGTCACTGGGGGTTCGAGTGGCATCGGAAAGCTCACGGTTGAGAAACTCGCGGCCCATGGCCTGCGTGTTGCTGTTCTCGATATTCAAGACTTACCCAAATCTATGGAAACCAACACTCGTATTCGCTTCTTCAGATGTGATGTGACATCCTCTGAATCAGTGGCGGAGACCGCGGGCGCCGTCCGCCGGGAAATCGGACACCCATCCATCCTCATCAATAACGCCGGCATTACCAGCCCATGTACAATCCTAAAGATGTCGGAAGCCTATCTACGGAAGATATTCGGCGTTAATTCCATGTCGCATTGGTTTACAGTCCAGCAATTTCTCCCGCACATGATTCAGATGAACAAGGGCCACGTCATCACAATCGCCAGTCTTGCCTCTTTCGTGGCCTTGCCTACAGCTGCTGACTACTCGGCTTCGAAAGCAGCAGCTCTTTCTTTTCACGAGGCTTTAACATGCGAACTCAAGCACTGCTACGAGGCCCCTAATGTGATGACTACTGTTGTTCATCCCAACTACGTCCGAACCCCTCTCCTCGACAACGTTGCTGACCATCTCGAAAATTCTGGCGTCCGTATGCTTACGAGTGAGCAAGTAGCTGAGCCGATAGTCAGACAGATTTTGAGCCGCCGGGCTGCCCAGATAATCATTCCAACATCAATGACAATGGCCTCTGCTATTAGGGGTTGGCCGACCTGGTTACAGGAGTTGATCCGGGACACTTTAGGTCGTTCGTCTTTGAAGTCGTAAAATGTCGATGTACATATACAGCTGTGCAGTCAACAAGATGGGAAGGAACATGTTGAATATGTTTGAAATATGATTTAAATGATACTTGTATGATAGTAATTGTTTCTGCTTGTCACATAGCCCTACCACACGAGAAATGCGCACAGCTTTTCTGTATCGATTTGAAAGTTGATACGTTGACAATTACATATTCTCTATGAAGATTCACATGTGCATTTCTCTTGTATTCTGCTATGCCTGCTGTAGCTTCCCTGGCTCTGGTAATTTAACGGTAATAAGATAGGTCACGTAGTTACACTACCGACCTAATCTAGTATACCGGTAGTAACGAAATGTCTCACTCACCTTACCTACTTGCATCATCTACTTAAGTAGTTTGCATTTACTACTTATGTACACTACTGCAGTCTATAATGGCGGGTCGATATGCATACGCCATGAGGATACATCACAGTCTAAACCCCCACTTACTATAATGAGTCAAGTGATGACCAGGGTCTGAGACTCACAAGTAGAAGATCTAACAGATCCCTTATTAGGTAGGTACTGTAGACATGGAAAGAATGCCGAGGTAAGTGATGCCACGAGGTTAAGCACCTAGATGTGTGTACACGTCCTCTGTTTTGGAAAGGGAGCCTTGAAGTAAGCCCATTGACCGTTGGTCGAGTTCGGGATCCCACGAGCTCAGCGGTTTTCGTCCGTATTAATTTTCTCAAAAGTCTTCCTTGTCGTATACTAGGCTCCATTACCGTTCAGCCGTAATCTCTAATATTCCCTGCAAATTCGTCATGGCGGGTGTTATTTACATTCTTACCGCTACTCCTTTTTTGCTTGTTCATTACCTCCTTGACATTGTCCGCTTCGTCTCACCAAGGGGACGTCCCCTTAAAGAATGGACTTTCAACCAGGCTGTGCGTGTGCGCACAGTCCGATTACTTCTGGTTTATTGGGCTTTTGCCCTCGCCGGAGATCGGCTGACACTAAAGCCTGGCCGGGAGCGGAACAGGTTTGATGTTTTTCATCCGAAATCACAAATGTATAAAGGTCCTTTGAGCGCCACCAAAATACAACCCAAAGCAATCGGTGCTACATGGACACCAGCTCAACCCTCTTTAGCTGAAGTCAAGAGCCGGAAAGCCACGGTAGTCCTTCACTTCCACGGTGGTGCCTATGTCATCGGTGACGGGCGTGATCATGATACCGGGTATTTAGCCAAAACCCTCGTTCGGCACATGGGTTGCAAATATGTATGCACGCCACAGTACAGACTGTCTACGCACAGAGGCGGACACTTCCCGGCGGCGCTACAGGACGCTGTAACGTCTTATATCCACCTCGTTGAGGAGATGGATATTCCTGCCTCTCAAATTATATTATCAGGCGATTCAGCTGGGGGGAACATGGTGCTTGGTTTGTTGCGCTACATTGACGAGTACGGCCAGGACCTCGGGATTCCATCACCTGCTGCAGTTGCGCTTTGGTCTCCATGGACAGATGTGAGCGCGGCTTTAGATGTAACTCAGGATATCACAAAGTCGCCCTATTACATGTCCGACTACCTGAGTGCCGAGTTCGCACGCTGGGGAGGACGCGCGATCACAGCCTACGGATCAATTGACGCTTCAGGTCCCTATCTCTCGCCACTACACCATCCTTTTCAGATGACTACTAGGATCCCAATGTTTGTAAACGGAGGGGGCGGCGAGGTGCTGTGCGATGATATCAAGGCATTCTCCAAAACGTTTGAGAAACACGGCTGGCCTGTACATCTGGTTGTTTCAAAACACTGTCCACATGACATTCTTTTACTTGGACCAAGGTTAGGTTTTCACAGAGATGCTGAAGCAGCTGTCCGAGATGCGAAAGCGTTTTTCTCTAGCGCAACAACGCTATATCTAGATAGCTCCGATTAAGTACCGCTATTATCAAACTTAACCTAACTAGAATTACGGCATCACTCGGAATTGGCGGGAAAAATAGAAATAACATGAAATTCTTACTGTTGCCTACAACTCGTTTAGCTCCCAGAGAGGCAGCCGGCATCATTGCAGGGACCTTCAAGATTTGCCTGTAGCCTAGGTATTGGTGTGATTGTACGTCACAGATGTGTTGACCTTGGTGATCGACATCCAAGCGTAGAATCCACCATCCCATCGCAACAAGGGGCATCTCGGAAGCAGCCGGTGGTGGATTCTAAATGTCGCAGTGTAGTGCCAAGGGTACATCGGCGCGAAAACAGTTACTTGTTGTCAACGCTGTACATAATGTACCCTTTGATCGGACTCGGTTTCGTTTACACAGGTGGAAAAATAAGCGACTCATTAGTAAGCTAAAATTAGCTGCCCATGTGCACCATGCACGGAGATCATTCCTCCTTTGGGTGGAACTTTGCGAAAGAGCCTTCACAACATGTATCAAACACGCGGACGTATTCCTGCCCTTCATCTAGGCAGACGCAATTGCACCTTCTAGCATCCTATACCTCGACACGAATATCGCTCTTCTGTGAAATTCTGAATGTTGAGAGAGTCGTCATGGCAATCTTTCGAGACGTTCCGGGGTCCTGCGGATGCGTGTGGATATCTACTAGGGGTATCTTATGATTTTCAATCAGGTCTAACCTAGGTGGTCTAGTAGTTCCGTGACTAATTTCATCGTGAAGTTGTGATATTGATCGTCATCAAATACTTACTGTCTGCCTTATTCTTGAATGCAAAACCAAGTGTCTCTTCCGAACTTTTCGTTATACCGGCTTAGCGATTCCAAGCCATCAAATGGCTATCAAGCTTCAGTCTAATGAGCCGTCGCCGGCTACCACGCTCGTAACCATGGACTTTGACGTTATAATTGTCGGGGCAGGTATTTCTGGGATCAATACAGCCTATCGTCTTCAGGAACAAGGTCCACCTGGTATGAAATATGTTATCCTTGAGAGTCGCGATTCTATGGGAGGTACTGTAAGTCATTCCTTGAGCGATTGTCTCTTCTCTTTAGGCGATCAATTCGTGGAAGATTTTGAAGGCGGATTTGCGTTATGGAAATCTTAACTGCTCCTGAGACTATGGTATATCTAAAAAGATGTGATGACTAACCCCGAGAATTTCAGTGGGATCTGTTTCGGTATCCTGGCATCAGATCCGATTCTGATGTCTACACATTTGGCTTGCCTTGGAGTCCATGGAAGGGAACCAGTACCTTTGGCAGCGGAGACGAGATAAAGCATTATCTTATCCAGTCAGCCAAGTCTGTTGGTATCGATCAATATATCCGATATCAGCATAAAGTTGAGACCGCAGACTGGCACCCTGCGGAGCAAAGCTGGCACTTCCAGGTCAAGGTAGCAGGCAAGGAGAAGCCTGTCATCTTTCGATCACGCTTTTGCCTTCTCGGCACCGGCTACTATGATTACGAAACCCCCATGCAAACCATTATCCCGGGCATCGAGAACTTCAAGGGCAAAGTGATTCATCCCCAATTCTGGCCAAAAGACTACGACTATACAGGGAAGGACGTCGTGATCATAGGTAGTGGGGCTACTGCAATTACCATTCTTCCGTCTATTATCGACAAAGTCAAAAGTGCAACCATGTTACAGAGAAGCCCTGGATACATATTCTCTCGTCCCGCAAGCAATTTCTTGACAAGACTAATGTTTGCCATTCTACCGTTATCAATAGCACACAGACCGAACAGGATTATATGGGCTCTTAAGAGTTGGTTCACAACCTGGCTCTGCAAAAACTTCCCTGGGGCAGCGAAGAAGCGCATCAGGGATTTAACAATCCAACAACTGCCTTCTAGCATCAAGTGGGATCCCCATTTCAAACCACGTTACAACCCATGGGAACAGCGATTCTGTGCTTGTGTAGACGGGGATTTCTTTGCTGCTCTTCGCTCGGGCAAGGGAAACGTTGTGACCGACAAGATCAAAATGGTCACAGCAAACAGCATTGAACTAGAGTCTGGAGCGGCTTTACATCCCGACGTCATTCTAACGGCCACCGGTTTGAAGCTCAAGTTCGGTGGAGGTATTCAGTTCTCAATCGATGGCAAGGAATTCAAAATTGGCGATAAGTTTTCATGGAAGGCGGCCATGCTCGACGACGTGCCCAACCTCCTTTTCATGACAGGCTATGAGAACGCATCATGGACCCTTGGGGCGGATGTCAGCGCTCATCTTTTCATCCGTCTCCTTCATTTGATGGAACAGAAAAACGCCAAAGTCATCGTGCCTAGATCGTCCAAGCCCATGGAAGAGAAGCCTATGATGAACTTGTCCTCGACCTATATCAAGAAAGCAGGCAGGGAGTTTCCCATGGGAGGTTCCGAGCAATGGAGCCCCAAAACCAACTACTTCGCAGATATGGCAGGCGCTAAATACGGAAGCATTGAAGACCTGTATTTCTCGTAGCAGATGCATCAAAACATAGGACTACCAGGCAGAATACGATACTATCGATACCTAATTTATAGGAGCATAATAGACACATTTGCGCCATAGCTGCAACGATAGCTCTATACACATCAAGTGCATGATGCTATGTAAGCCGGACGATGATTAGAATCGAAGCTCATGCGTAGGTAGTCCTTGAATGACCTAATGATGTACGTACTGCATACATACACTATGTACATAGTCCAGCGCCGGGTGCCGCACATGACAGTACGAAAGAGGATGGCCACCAAAGATTACATCTGACGCTAAAGGGATTCGAAGCAGAACCCTACAAATCAGCAGCTCTCTCTCCCGTGATATCGATCCTGGGGAAAACTAGGCATGCCGAGTGTCTTACTCGGCATCATTCCTGGGGTAAACCGCAATCTGGGGCAGCCCGTGGGGGCGGCTCGCAAGCTCGTCCAGCGTTGGGTAAGGTGTGGGCCTCCAAGCCAGAGAGCCCAATGTAGCGTCAACGCCTCAGCTGTACGGTACCGACCTGCAGCCTCCCTCCAGCGTTGTGTTGCGACGAAAATTGCAGGTCTAGGCTGACTCGTGTTATATGGTATGCCTTGTCTCGGAGGCTTTCATCCCCAGGGTCGCAAAATATCCCCTCATCTTCCTCCCCCAGTCTGATATCCCATCTTGACTCAGTTCAAGATGGCAGCAAGCACTGTGGCTCTGCGCTAATGTAACTAAGTAAGTGAGTGCGCAGATGTCTTTGAACTGCGATGAATCAGACCCCGTGCTCCAGACTTGTATACATAAGAAACGGGACCCGGACCGTTCCTGGGTTTCTTTGAACAAATGTACGCAAAACTTGATCACGATCGATCTACTATCTACATCTAATCGGTCATTGCTAGTTCTTGTAATTAGCTGAGAAACGCGGCTGAGAAGCCTGTGTCGGCTCCTTCGGGCGTTCATCATGACTGTACGAGCCCCTCCTCCAGGTACACTGGGTAATCTCACCCCAGATGAACAAGAGAAGCTCCAACAGGCATGGATCCATCTCCTTCGCCTCTGCGGCAGCAAAAGTCTTGAAGGTGTCAGCTTTTCAGAACCAGTGCCAGATCTCACTCATGAGCTACGGCAACAAATGAGCGACAAGTCTCCAGACACTTTCCGCGAAGGTCTCTGGGGTTTCATATTATCCGAGCACCCAGACGCGCTTGTACTTCGATTCCTACGGGCGCGGAAATGGGACGTCGAGAAGGCCATGGTGATGCTTGTCTCGGCTGTCAACTGGCGTCTGGAGAGGGATCTAGCCGAGACCATCATCCACAAAGGTGAGAGCGTGGGTCTGAAAAAGGCGCCCTCGGCGGACGACCAGGGCTTCATCTCACAGTACCGCTCAGGAAAGAGTTTTGTTCACTCAGTAGATAAGGAGAGCCGCCTCGTCTACATAATCCGGGTTCGAGAACATGACCCTAACGCGCAATCTGGTGACTCCATGGAGACGTATATCCTGCACAATATCGAGAGTCTCAAAATGTTGATGAAGCCACCAGATGACAAATGCTGCCTCATATTTGACATGACTGGCTTTGGGCTGAAGAACAGTATGTTACCTCTAGAGTCACTTCCCCCTTATTTGAGACGCTCATGGAGGTAATAATCACCTGTTGTTGCCACAAGCATGTCGTGAAAGTATACTTGACTCCCGAGACCTAGTACCACGTAACCTTGAAGAGTTATTACTGACTCCAGCGAACTGTAGTGGACTTCCATGTCGTCAAATTCCTAGTTTCCGTCTTCGAGGCGCGATATCCCGAGACTCTCGGCGTGATACTTATTCACAATGCGCCATTCGTATTCTGGGGTTTGTAGCCTCAACTCTTAAACATACCAGCAAACTCACAGACATGCAGGACTATGGAATATGATCAAAGGATGGCTGGACCCGGTCATCGCCAGCAAGATTAACTTCACGCGTAAGAGCGCAGATCTACTACAGTTCGTCCCCGCAGAGAACCTGCAGACTAGCTACGGCGGCAAGGATTCGTTCGAGTACAAATACATCGAGCCTGTAGAGGGCGAGAATGCGAAGTTAGAAGAGGTAGAGAAGAGGGCAGAGATTCAGCATGAGCGGAACGAGCTCGTAGACGAGTTCGAGCTGCGGACGAGTGAGTGGGCGTCTCTGGCAGCTGATACCTCGGCCGAGAAAGAGAAGGCGTCGCGGCGGACTGAAACAGCAGAACATCTTAGTAAGAATTACTGGACGCTTGATCCGTACATTAGAGCGAGGACAGTCTTCCACCGTCTCGGTATGGTGGGATAACTAGGAGCCAGATAATGTTGCTCCACTTTGAACGTGCTTTTGTGTAGCGACATTTGGAATCATACGGATAGGTCATAGCAAATGTACTATTATAACCTCCTCGAAAGCTTCTCCATGGGTATACAATAACGCGATGATTCGGTTGGGACTATGGGATGGGCTCTGATCGAGACCACACGTAGAACAGCAGACTACAACCCGAGGAGCACAACGTACACGATGGAATCAAAATACGAGTTAAAATGAGGAGACGAAGGTAACTCTGGTCTATATCCCGTAATTTAAACAAAAAAACCACAGATATTGAATCTCAATGAGTGGCCTGGATTGTGTGACTCTCCAGAACTGGAGTATATCCAGATTGATTGAAGCTCAAACTCAGTGTTGCCCACCAACCCAATTGATCTTCACAAAAACAGTCTAAGACGCACTCGCCTTCAGAGCAAGGATACGATCCGCGGCATATTCAGACGCGCTTACGATCATAGCAGACGGATTACCCGTCATCATGCCAGGGAAGATAGACGCGTCGACAACGAACAGGTTGTCCATACCGTAGACCTTAGTATCAGTGTCGACCACCGCGGTGCCGTTGTTCTTGCGCCCATCATCCAGCCCTATCTTAGCCGTCCCGACCCAGTGGTTCGAGCAGCGGAACGCGGTGGTTGCAGGGATCTTTGATTGTCAGTCGATCCCCTTTCTCTCCACTAGGGGTCGCGTATAAATGGAATAAAGATAGTGACGGTAGAAATTAACGTGATAACTTACCGAGTTCACGAACGTCGTGGCATCTTGCTTCGGCCCGGGCCGGAGCCACGTCAAGTTCGGGATGGACGCGAAATATCGCTGCAAATTTTCTAAGCCCTTGATGACGGCTGCCTTGTCGCCGGCATCAATGAGGTACGGAGCGACGGCGACGCGGGTGTTCAGCGCAGCGGTGATAACCATGCGCCCGCGTGACTTCGCGCCCGTGCCAAGATATTGCGTGATGGTCATAGAGTCTATGCTTTTCGTTAGAAACATATTTGTTACTATTTCTTTGATGGAGGAGACCGACTTCGTGTTATGCCGTCGGCACGCGCCTGCCAGTGCAGATGCCTTTCAACACCATCTGCCCCCGGGATGATTTCCCAGAACTATTGTGTCGCATTAGTAAAGGTTAACAGAACATAATGCTTCAAGGCGACTTACGATGGGACCCAGATTGGGCGCAGCTTGTGTCAGGATGCCGGTGCGATTCGCTGAGAGAGCAGTCTTAGTATTATTACACAAGGTCATTCACACACAGTGACGATTACCTAGATATGCCTCTGCATCGCTGGCTACAGGCTTGACATAAGCGCCGTGCCAGTCATAGGTTACAACACTAGGGTGGGTAACTTCGATGTCAGTCTGAAATAGGAATCAGTCCGTATGTGTCTCGTTACTCGGAAATGCCTGTACTCACGCCGACATGGTCATCTAGATTGTACCCAACTGGGAGATTAATCCACGAGTCCGACGAGGTCATCGTGGGGCCGTCCTTGGAATTCTTAACGATGTTGAGCTGATCGGTTGGTCCAATCCCACCTTTATCACATTAGCTTGGCAACTTGGTAAAGCCTCTTCATAGGAAAGATCGTACTTCTGAAAAGTAATTTGGCCGTTCCAAAAGCACCAGCTGATAAGATCACGCGGCCAGTACCCGGGGTTACTGACACTACGCCAGCATGCCCATCTGCATTCGGGCTGCATTCGATTTCGACACCCGTGGCCCGACCACCTGTGCGCACTACTCGCTTTGCCGTAGTGTTCATCCACAGGGTAAATTCCTTACGTTTGCTAGCCGACACTAAGTAGGTTGCTAAGGGGCCGCCCCTTTCTCCATTCGAGAACATGTGAGTAGCATGGCCGTACGTAACTACGAGCAGTATTAGTACTTCCATTTTATTTTTGTTTGTATGGCCAGGGGCGTTTTCCAGATCTTGGTTGAGGTCTTGGGAAGCCAGAGTACGTACAATTCTTCTCATTGGGATGGTCGTTGGGGACGACATACTTCCAACCACTCGCATTCAGACCACTCGTCATCATATCAAACCCTTGTTGGAGATATAGTTTCCCATCCGTACTCGGGGTCGTCGTGCCGGGAATGCGTTCGAACACTCGGTCCGTAGGCGCGGCCAAATCCTCGCTTTTCCATCCTTGCGGCCAGAGATAGTCCCAATCGGCAGGATGCGGTTTCCACCACAATCCTGAATTCACCGCGACGCCGCCACCGAGAACGCACCCGGCCATCTGGTCTACATCCGTGCATACCACGCCCGTCGGGTTAAACCAGACCTCGTTCGCGAGGCCAGGCACATCGAAGCGTGTTAGCGAGGTCTGACTGAGCCATGCAGGTTTCACTATGGCATTTGAAATTAGTTTCCGCTGTTGGCTAAGTATGTCATGATGGTTATGGGATCATGAGACACCCCAGCCCATTGTTATAACAAACAGGGGCAGAAGGAAGCCATCGAACATGTCGACGGGTCATTCACTTACTGGTACCACCCCAGATACCAGTCGAGGGTGGTCCCTTTTCAATTAGGAGAACGGTGTGACCCGCGGCTGTGAGCCGATCTGCCAATGGAATCCCGCCAGCTCCAGAGCCTACAATGATGTAGTCGTATGCCTGGTTTGATGTCACGTTAGAGCAAACGGCAGCTGGAGCAGCCAGCTCGATGGTAGCACGTGCGATGCATGGCTGGAAGACTTCAGGACATTATGTTAGTGTACGAGTCTTCAGGAGAGTTGGAAAGATTGTGCCACATGTAGATCTTAACACAAATACCAGGCGAGACCTTACAGAGCAGGGCGGAGACTGCCGCAGAAGCGCGTGCGAGCCTTCGCTGGTGATACATATTGACTTGACAGAGAGCAAACAGCTGGTTACCAAGAGTTCAAGGCGGCCAAGCCATACCAGCCAGCAGAGGCAGTGCGCCCACATTATAAGAGCTGAAAACGCCTCACGTTGATACAAGCCCCATGATATCTCTAGCCTAGTATATTATTAGATGACTGAGAAATCTTGAATACAGCAACCGGGAAAGGCAAGCGGAGCTTGGGTCACCTCCGTGGAAAATCTCCGACTGGCCAAGGTCCCTAAATGTGAACTTCGGTTGATTAGACGGGTTATATCAGGCTCTGCCTAAATGGAACACATGGTACTTAGCCGAGAATGAAAAGTCTGGGGAAAATGCAACGACTTCAGACGTAGCTGAAATAAATTTCCTGTCTAAGTTAAGGTGACAAACCCAAACATTCAATTTCGTGCTAATTAGATATCGGACGAAGGGCATAGTGCCGCTCGTTGATATAATTGACGGATATTCAATCACGTCGTCATCCTTGACCTACCTCAGACACTCCCCGCCCACCGACACCTTGGCCTCAAGCTTGGACGCCATCGAGCAGATCTCTCAGGTCACGTCGAGGCCATTCCTTTCCTGGCTGATCTGGGAGCGGCCTGTCCCAGACCCATCTTTTTTCTAGGTCTGACTCAAGAGTACCATCCAGCAGCTGCACCACATACTGGCCGATTACTGGTAAGAATTTCCAGCCGTGGAAGGAACCACATGTCGCAATGAATAATCCTTTAGAGGCTGGGTGCTGTGAGATTATGAAGTCTTCGGTTGGTGTGACACAGTCCCTTCATGGTACTATTAGTCTTACTAGTCTTCGAGAAAAGAGGATAGTCGATCGTAAAATGACACGCCTAAGGATAGTATGAAGCCACTCACCAGCAGATCCGATGAGTATGTATTTTCCAATTACGCCTCCCGAAAGTGGCTTCACTTGATAGAGCAACATCCGCTTTCAAGGCTTCGGGTACTTCCCACTGATTGTATTCCTTGCCTGTAGGCGGTTGGGAGAAGCTAGGAGTCCCTTGAGAAAACTGGAAGATTGTTTGTCCCCAGAACTTGATTTGATTTCCACCAATAGTTGGTGGCAGAGTTCCGTTACTTGCCCCTTTTAGCGGTGATTAGCGAAGAGGACGAGTAACTTAAGAGAAGCACTAGTATACCTCTTTGAGTTGGGTTCTCTTGAATGCACACGGGCATATCTTTGAATATCTCGGCTGTTTCTTCATCGAGTGTCACCATACCTGTGGTTACACCTGCGGCAATCATTCGCTTTGAAGGACTGAGTGCATCGCAAGAGACGCTTTTGGCAGCCTTATCTAATAGGACAGGGGTATAGGCCCCAGTACATAGGATGGTTTGATCTGAGTTGACCGTTCTTCCGTCCTTGGTTCGAACACCGGTACAACAACGACAATTGTCAAACTGAAGACAATCGATTTCGGCAGTGACATACTTCACGCCTATGTCGATGGCCTTGTTGATTCCAGCCTTAAGAGCATCCTTCGCTGCCGCCCACCCACTAGTCTTGTTGATCAACACAGTATCAACGCCTTCGTAGTTTGCGCTATCGAAGATGTTGCTGTATAACTTACGAGCTTCTTGCACAGGAAGTGCATGTAGTTCAGCGTCGCGACCCAGCTTTTTGAAGTTGTCAAGCACTGCTTGAGCGAAACCGGTACGGCTTATCCAGTAAATGCCCGTCTCATGATAAAATCTACTCCATAGCGGATTACTCCGCCATGCATCCTGTGCTTCAAGAGCAACTAGAAGAACCAAGGTTACTACGTACGACTAAAGGAAGAGAACCCGAGCGGTGGCTGGGCTTGTAGTTGACTCGGATTGCTCACTTCGACAATATGTAATGTCACGATAATCGGCGCGAACCACTTTGTTCCAGTCCCAGGACGCAGCAGGGCGTGTGGAGGCATCCGGTTCGTGACGATCAATCAATGTAACATCAGCATCAGGATATCGGGATTTCAAATGTATCGCAGTAGACGTCCCGAAAACCCCCGCGCCAACGATGATGTATGATTGAGACTGCGGAGACGACATCTCGATCAAGAATACTCATCAATAGAAAGTGCAGAACCAAAAAAGATTGAGGATGTCTGATAGAAGAAGGCTATAGTATCAATGAATGAAGTTCGAAGTCCTAGGATTAGGCTTTGTATTGGGATTCTTATTTGCAAATTGAAGGACATGGGGTTATTAGCTGCGGGCGCTAACTGGTGTACAGATAGACCCCTCATGATCGATAGGTTCTTGGTTACAACATCTGGCCCTATCAGTTGCCCGGGCCCAGTTTTCAACTGAAGGATACCGTTTTTTAGGGACATCCTCTAGAGACAGATGGGAATAAAAGGAATCGCGATGATCGCTGACCTGATGCGAATCCCAGGAGAAGCTCATGGACGTACTTGGAGGTCCAGTAAACATGATACCGGAGGCATTGTATATTGTGAGGAAACGCATTATCGAAGTCTAATTAAAACTTCGAGTGAGCTCATCATCCTGCCCCTCTCAGTCACATCGCCTTCGAGACCGTCTTCTTCTTTGGAGAGAACCTCGTCGACAACAGCCACGCTCCCTGTACGCAATTGGACCACGCAATCCGGCTGTTTCTGGAAGAACAACGCAACTTCGGTGACTTTCTGAATTGCACGTCCAGTGCCTAGCACGATTACTTGACCAGAGTTCTCAAGCCCAAGCCCAAGACCGCCAGTAGAGGCATTCTGGGATTGGTCTTGGATACGACGCACACGTTCGCTTAGTGACGCGTTCTTTTTCTGAGATAGCTTGTTTGTAAAGGTACTCCGCGAGTCGGCCGATTGGCGCAGGTACCTGTCAAGCTGTTTGCGAACTCGAGTGGTCACGGATCGAAATGGTGTTTTCGCTGTTACGTGTATGCGGCGAGCTGAGTTTGTAGATGGTACGGGTCCGGAGGGAATTGGGCGTCTACGAACCGTGGCCCCTAGAATCATTTTCAGCCTAGAAGATAACGTGATCTACTTCCTCGAGTTGCAAACATACCCTTGGGGATAGGCGGCAGCTTTTCTATGGCAGCGCCAGGCAGCTGTGGAAGGGAGCCGTCATCGGTGTCCATCGTGTTAGTTGGCGCAAGGCGCAACGAGATAGAAGAGTCGGATCCTTGATTGATCTGCTACCTAAATCACCCTCCAGGCAGACGTATAAAGAGCTCCGAAAGTGGGCTTTCCGCCGTCATGTCCGTTGATCTGGCATGAGTGTGTGGAGGAGATATAAAATCCAAAGGACCCTTGAAAATTGTAGCCTTGACTTTTCGAGCTGGCAAAAGCCCCAATTGCTAGGTTGGGACCGGTAGCTGGACCGACCCGCTGTACCTACTTACTTACAGCAAGTGCTAGGTGGGGCGCATTAGGAATCTGGGACTCACTCAGATGCTGTAGCATGTATCGGTACTTCGGTTAACGCCATAGACTCGGGCTAAATCATGTAATGGATACCTCAAGGCTACCGGGTAGCGTAGAGTAACCCAAGGCACGGCTCTATCAGCTACCTAACATCTCATCATCCCATCATATCATCATTATCTTCTACTTCAGCAACAGCCTCTCTCATGAAACGGCCTGGTGAGAGAATGGTTGCCTGTTTGCACAAATCCTACGTGTAAACTAGTGGCACATATCACGGCCACGGCCATGTCTGTTGAGATCTGGCCTCCTATTGCGCCAGAACAGCTTAAATTCGAGGAAGATGCTACACAGGTATGGCTCTCTTACATGATGACCCGTCTCTCACCTCGGCCTTCCAATAGCTAGCAGCTCCCACTCGACGTAGTAAAATACCCAGCCATACCTATCACCATGCTTGTAGATGACGACTATGTCTTCGTACAACCATATTCCCAAGCTCCGCGGCCTTCCTCCTTACCCAAACTCTCTCAACAGACTCATCAGCCACTACCCCCAAGCCCTCCTGACTCTCCCTCACACTCACAACCAGCACAGGCCCGCGAGTTGACATGGCTGCTCGGCTCGTTTCATGGCACCCTCCTGTCTCTGAAGCATGGCCTGGAAGAATGCTACGCACTTCTCGCTCCCATCGACCCAGGGAGCACGCTCGTGCTCAGCACACCGCGAGCCGAGCTGGTGAAGGGCCACGTGACTAGAGTCGGCCCCCGGATAGTCAAGGGGACAATACATACCAAGCTACGGACGACTGCTCCCATGACCATCTCCATCAACCCGGCTCATCCCATTCATCTGGCGCCTCTGGTGACGCTGAACGCGCTACTGACGCAGGCCGTGGATCTAGCGTCTCTATGCTTGACCGAGGGAGAACGAAAGAGGCAGACTGACTGCCAGGGCGCAGCGGTATTTCTCTCTTCGCAATTACGCCTTCTAGCCCAGGGTATCGACGAGGCCGCCGCGATTCTCAAGGGATCACCAACAAATATCACCGAGTTCAAACGCCAGCAACGACCTGCTACGGCGAATACGAGTAGGCCTGGCACAGCTGTTATGGAGGCCAGCGTAGTCGGTACCAGCAGCAGCATCAACGAGAGTGGCTGGACGCAGTACTCAGCCGCCTCGAAATCCTTCAACCCTCCATTGAGCCAGGCGCTTTCTTTCCATGTGACTATACAAGACGCGTGCCTGGTGCTCCATCTCCGTGCTCTCGAGCCCGCCGATGCGCCCGTGAACCTAGGCATAAAGCTAGCGCTAGCGATCGGGACTGCGCGGCGTCTAGAGCACGACGAAGCGGAGAAGGTATTCACCTACCTGTATCATGAGTCAGATACCTCCATCGCGCAACCCGGGCTCGGCCAAAACCAATCATATCCAACGCGGGGATCGCGCAGCACGACTGGCAAGAGCGCAGGCGTAAGTAGTGAAGGCGGCGAGGTGAAAGAAGTTTATGTTCGCGAAAAGGTTCGCGTCGAGAGCGCGGATCCAAGCTTGTTGTCCATGTCGACGAAGCTGACTGCGCTCTCGAATACACTGGGTCTGGCTAGGCGGAATCTGGCTGCTGTAATGGGCGAAGAGTTTGAAGAGTAAACTGTGCCTGTCTAGGCGGTGGTGAAACACGCAAACGGCGACTCTAGTTCAATTTGAGGGTTGAGACTATTGACCATTTCAACCAACCACGATATACTTGCAATCCGTAATCCTCTACTATATAATCGTAGCTAAACACTACGAACCAACGATCTACTAAACCGTTCAATCTGGCTTGCTAGCGGTCACTCGTCCGCGTCGCTATTGATCATTAACATATATGTGCATGTCTCATACTACTCGTATTCTATAATGAAAACATGACATTGTATCACATACCACCTCTACACGAGCACTAGCGATGAGATCCCTGACTTCAATGACAAGCAGATACAGCAAGCATCTCTCGTCGTACGCCCAGATTGCCATGATAACCCCACACAAATGCATGTAGTCTAGATGGAATTCTATGCGTAGTAGAGGGTTTCTATTACAATGTACCAACTAGGTAGCTTAAGTGCAGAAAGTACTGGCTTGGGATGCTCAAAGTTTATACCCGGTGCAAGCTTCAATTTTCAATTCTTCCACCATCGGCCAAGTAAATGCCCTACATCTCCGATCATGTTGACACGAGATAAGTACAGATCAAATTTCCTTAACTAGTAAGAATGACATCCAATTCAGGATATTGCGCGGTGATGCTGGGACGTTTGGAGATGATGACTGGCAAATGATGACAACATCAATTGGATGTGGATTCAAGACTGCTTTTGCTTTTGAGCTATGTGATAAGGCAGCTATTCAAGCTGGACCACTGTGTGCAGGAAGACAAAGGCTGGCAAAAAGCTCAAGACAAGGATTTGCCCTTGGTATAATACACTCGTGTGGAATTCCAAGCATAATTTCAACTTTGCTACCAAAACGTTCAAGGATCTTTGTGCCAAACTACTAGTGAGCAGAGGTAGATAGGTATGGTGCACTTTAAGCAACTGGTGACCATGGCATCGGGATGAGAATCCTCGACTTCATGGTCTGGATGAGAGGAACAGTCTTGTGAACTGTCTCAGCCCATCCCTCCTGCTTCCAGCTCTGCTCTCGTCGGACTTTACGTTCCTCGAGGTCCGCGAACTGCCAGAGATGGTGGACGGTATTCAGGTCTCCTATCTGAACAAACCAAGCGCCTACACCCTCCATTACCTCGCGCCGGGCCTTCAGGCCACGTCGCCAATGGGTCTCCCACTCTAGTAAATTACCTGGATGGAGTGTGTATGATCGTAGCTCGAATACACCACCGAGTTTTCGGGGCGAAGTAGTAGGCCAGAAAGAGAATTCTTGCATCAACGAGGTCTGTTTGTGCTTAATAAGCGACTTCAGCTTGGTATTGAACTCGTCGAAACCTGGCTGCTTCGAGATGCTGTGCAGAGAGTCGTGGTAACCTTGATAGCGCTGGTATTCCCAGATATGGACTGTCACATGTTAGCCGCCATGTTCCAGCCCTTGACGAACACAGAAAAGTAACGCACCGAATGTATCGCAGTCACCAACTTCGGTGCGCCAGCTTCCAACCAGATTGACCTTATTCTCCGACTTGGAAGCCATCTTAGGGTACCAATCGCCCACAAGCTTAACATACTCGTCCACCTTATCGGGCTTGACCTCATGGAAGACAATCGAATGGACGTATTTCCCTCGAGCTAAGACAGCACTGAAGCTTGCCTCGAGCTGTGCGTCCAACTCACGGCCTTCTTTAGTGCCATAGATGACACGGGACAGTAATCCATCGTTCTTGTCGGACTCGGTTTTGGAGGCTATCTCGGCCCGTTGTTCTAAAGCATAGCACGTCAGCTTGGTTCAAGTCATGATATAATTGGGCCGGGTAGGAAAGTACCGGACCTACTGGCTTCTCTCTCCTGTTGAGCTTTCACCAGATTCTCCCTGAACTCCTTCTGCTTGGAGTTGAATGACGCGACGCCGGTGGAGGTTACATCGGCTAGCGACGGGGTTCGCTGCTGGGCAGCTGTCGAGCCGAATGCTCTCAGAGAGCGGGGAATTGGCGCAGCTGCGCGAGCAATACCTCGGGCAAACATATTGACAGGTCTTCTCGAGTGCACCGCTGCCAAAGAGCGGTTGATGGAGAAGAGATGAGGGGAGAATATGCAAGATAGAAGCTGTAGCGACGAGAAAGAAAGTGGCTTGAAGGGAATTTGAGAGTAGAGAACCTCCTGAGAGTTGAAGCACCGAGAGCACAGAGTTGTTGTGGCGACGGTTGTTGACCGGTACTAGCTACAGTTGTGTGTGGGAAGGACAAGGACGTGTAATAGTAATTGACTGAAATAGCAGATTCCCCGCACCGCAATCGAGTTCAAGTCTTCAAGAAGGTGTCCTGGTTTGGGGGAAGATCAGAGGAAGATGGCAGAGGAATTCGCCTAGGTTAGAAGCTTGGAAGCTGGAGGAGAAGCTTGCCGAGGGATTAATCAAGCCACTGACTGCACTGCTGTCTTGTTCGTCTGGGCAGTTTGGGAGTTTCAGCAGCATCGAGTGTCACGTCACCCGTGCTATCATAGTACCGTACCGGTATCATACGTAGAGGTACCTAAGTACTGCCGAGGGTGGAAAGTGGGAAAGCGGAGGTGGAGCAGTGGCTGGAGCTAGCATACAGCTCCCTGCAAGTGGTAAAGGCTCTAGAGCAGATCTGGGCGTCTGTTTAGAGGGGCTCGAGGGGCTCAGAGGGACTGAAAGCTGGAGTTGCTGGCGAGCTAGGCCCGGATGACATCCAGAATGACATCAGCCCCGGTGGACACCAGCCAGAACCCCCGCTAATCCAACTCTGGATAGCGTCAATCCCCGGGCCACACCTTGCTCAGCCACATCAGGGACTTCAATCCGTCAGCCACATATCTGACAAGCCACAGACTTCCAAACGTCCGCAGCCCGGCCAGCCCGGCTAGCTCCATCAAGCCACTGCAAGGCCGCCACTTTTTCGGTCTCGGCTAAGGGATCTCGCAGAGCTTGACCTTCGAAAACCGCTCGCCTACTTGCCGTGACATCTCAATCCGATTCCCCATCAGCCGCAACCTCAACGCCGTCAACCATCCCCATATTCTTCCTCTCACTACCGTCAAGATGTGGTTTGGAATCCACCCCCTGAAGAAGTTCCCGGCTCCTATCAGTACGTCAATGGATCAACAAAGCCCCTGCATCTGCGCCCGCTGTACTAATCCCTCTCATAGTGAAGCCATTGGCTCCCTTCTTTGCTGCCGGTACGACACGCGCTTCCTGAGCTACGATCTTTTCTCCATATATACTCGAAATACCTAACAGAAGCCTAGGCCTGATCATCGCTTACGGTGTCAACTCGGCGCAAAATGCCATGATGGCGTGTATGTTCCTCCCCATAATTGCAAAGATCCGGAGGAAGGGACCAAGATGCTGACATTGTACCACAGCCGACGAGTGGAAGAACGACCCCCGCAACCCCGACGCCAAAGCCGGCAGCCACTGAGTTGATTAAATGGGAAAGGACAAGATCAATCGTCACATCATTTTATGTCTTGCATGATAGACGGCCAAAGCGATCCGAAGCATGGGCGAGATAGGAGCACTACTGTATCATAGATCTAAAGCTCACGGCTAGTCGAGAGCCGTGTTCGACCAATACCACAATCCCTTTGTGCTACGATGTTGCCATAACCCGGTGAAGAAGATTCTCGTAGGGAACCGACATGGTGTGATACATGACTTGGCGACAATGTTGTTGGCCTGGTGCGCTGAATGAATCAATGAAAACCTTTGAAATTGGATTCATAACATATACTTTAATTTGATACTATGGTATTTGCGTCTCAGCGACACCGTTATGTCTAGGTACAATATCGGTAACGTTTTGGCAAATTCCCTTGACCAGTGATACAGCATCAATCCATGGGATCAATGGGGTTATATAACCCGTCATTGCAGGATCAGGATACAGGCGGCATAGACTCCCGTGGCACAAAATTGTTATCTCAGTTATTATATCGACCATATCGTAGGCCATGAACTGATAGACACATGCCTCTTAGCCAATGATAACAACAGATTTATCGTCATGAGAACTCACCTAGATGACCATACGACTGGAGTACACAATTTCTCAGTGCCTTTCAGAGGCATATGTTTATCGGTGTTGCCGCATCTCTATCATATATCTAACCGTAGTTATTCGGAGATCTGTCGTAGAAATGGAGCCAGAAAATAGTCCGATAAGCTTTAGAACCGCAACGCTTACCAATCAGGTTACAGCAACCTCACCTCTGCAATTTCAACATTAAATATATATCCATAGACAAGGATCTGGGTAAAGTTAAGAAAGAGTGGCTGTCATGAAATTCGAAAGACTGATTCTACACCGTTTCACGTCGCCTTTCATTCGGTCTTCTTTTCGTAGCGCGTCACGACATTACACACTCATGGCGAGCGCGGGACAGCCAGCGGCCACAGCGCCAGCAACGATGGAAGAGAAAAAGCCAACGTCGAGTATCCCCAAGGGCAAGACGGAGCTGAAGATTCTCATGCTTCACGGTATGTAGCTATCTAGATGAACAGTACCTGCAAACATGACCATGTTATGTCCACCTTGTACATTCGTTCACACACACACACACTCACATATCACTCATCTCATACAAAGTATGCTAATACCATCACAGGCTACACGCAATCAGGACCCCTCTTCTCAGCGAAGACAAAAGCCCTCAACAAGCTCCTCATAAAAGCTCTCTCCCCGGCACCGCTGAACCTCCACCCAACCCTAATCTTCCCATCAGGACCACACCGGCTGCGGCCCTCCGACATCCCAGGCTACGTGCCGTCGGAGGACCCGTCTCAGCGGCGCGATGACGACGACCTAGACAACTGGGCCGTAAGTATCTCTTCCCCACCACCCTCGCTCTCCATCCGTCGTTTTCATCCTGCTCACCATCAAAGTGGTTCCGCAAAGACGACGCAACCGGCTCCTACGCCGGTCTAGACGACGGCATGCACCGCGTCGCCACAGCGATCCGCGAGGCCGACGGCGTGGACGGGGTCCTAGGGTTCAGCCAAGGCGGGTGCATGGCGTCGCTCGTGGCCTCGGCCCTCGAGCAGCCGCACCGCGCACCTGTCGCAGAATCCCAGCCCTGGCTCCCGGAGCTGCGCGCCGCGAACGGCGGACGCCCGCTCAAGTTCTGCGTCGTCTACTCTGGCTTCCACGCGACGCCGTCGGATCTGCAATGGCTGTTCGAGCCCGCCCTCGCGACCCCGACGCTGCATTTCCTGGGCGGTCTGGACACCGTTGTCGAGGAGAAGCGCAGCATGGCGCTGGTTGAGCGGTGCCGGGATCCGATGGTGCTGACGCATCCGGGAGGGCATTATGTCCCTGTCGCGAGGGACTGGGTCATGCAGCTGGCGGGATGGTTACGGCAGCGCTGTGTGGAGGCTGCGGATGAGGGGACTAAGGAGTCGTTGTGAGCTGCCGAGGAGGGGGGCAATAATAGCTCTAACGTTTGGTGTGGAATGTATTGTCAAGCACAGCCCAAGCGGTACTAAGGCTGCGGTAGATTTTGAATAGCTGATTATCTCAAGATCTACCTAGGTGAGAAGCAAGTTGGCATTGTTGACCGAGGCAAGCATATAGACAAGATTATAGACAGGCACAAGATAGACATGTCAAGATCGTAAAGAGGACTCTTTCAAATGGTTCCAACAGGCCACAATTATCTCTTGGTCTATGTTCGTAGTATACATTCGCATGTGATATAATGCAAACCCGGTTTGTGCCCATTCATAAAGCTGAACCAACCAGCAAAGGTCCAGCTGAAACCTCCAAATGCAATTACTACTCAGTGGTGGGAAACCAATCAAGCCTTTTTCTTACTCTTCTTCTCTTTACCTGCCTTGCCCTCAGGCTGGACTCCAGGCTGGATGCGTGCCATCATTTCCTCCTTGGTAATAAGATGGTCAACGCGCTCCAGTAACCCAAGTAGGCTCTTCATGTTATGACTCCATTCGTTGAGAACATCATCGACGTCTCTCGGCTTGGCAAAGCTAACAATTCGTGCAGGTCGGTCGATACGAGCAAAGACGGTCTTGGAGCAGACCAACTCGCTAATATACTTCTCCGTCTCGTCTTCCGTCAAGTCGAGAAGCTGTGTTAGGCGTTTCATACCGATACGGGTGTAGTATTTCGCTATGACACGGACATTGTGCTCGATAACTCGTTTGCGCAAGTCCTGCCACCGCTGGTATGCTTTTTCGTCTTTAGATTGATTAGGTTGGTTGTCAAATATATCGGTGCCACATAGATGAGGACCAAACTCCTTGGATACTTCAGGCCAGCGCATGAGTTCGTGCACTGTGAAAAGTTTGAGAAGCTCGGCATCTTCAGACACCTGAGTATTCCGAGTATCGCGATAGACACGTTGTAACAAATCGTGTTGTTCGTTATCATGGGGGGCAAGGATAACGAAGTAGATAATGCGCTGGAGGACCTGAAGGTGTGTTAATGGTGCAAGGGCGGAGTCAAAAGTGAATATAACATACAGGCTGGAGTTTCGAAGGATCTTCCTCAACCGCTTCGGTGTCAAGGACTTGTCTGTAGTGTTTGCAAACATCCAGATATTTGTCGTCATGTTTGGCTAGTAAGATTTGCTGCTCGTAGTACCTCAATTTGAGATCAGTAGTGTCATCGTCTACTTCCGGGGGCACCTCTTCGCCTCGCTTCTCCTTCTCTTCGCGAGCTTTCTTCTCCTTCTCTATTTGCTCCGACGTCTTCTTTGGCTTGCGTGCGAGGTACCGTGTGCTGATCTTGCGACTGAGGATGCCTGCCTGTGTCCAGTCGTTGTTTTCTATACATAACGCGACTTGGGCCAGAATGAACTCGGTCTTTTCTCGTCTATCCATCGATCCGAAAGTCTCAACTTGTAGCTCACACAGGATATCCATGGCAGACTTCAAATCGCCCTGTTGCTTCTTGATATCTGAAAGAATCTTGGTGACACGGGCGCGTTCCACCTCAACGAATATCTTGCCTTCCGTAACAGTTCGCAGGGTTTCGATTACTGATAACTTCGTCTCGAGATTGGGGGTGGCGTCGAGAAAGTTCATGACAGTCTGGACCATCTTGGTGATGGCCTGCTTGAGCTGGCCATGCTTCTTGGATAGGACAAGAACCTGGTCGTTCAGTAGGTTCCAGTTGCCGGCATCCTTGCAAATTGTACATATTGCAATCAAGGTCCGGGATGTTGATGCCAAATCCGAGGCCTAGAGACATGCCAATGTTAGCACCAGTCAGAGGCAATGGTATAGCTAGCAAGAAGCGCTGACCTGTCGGGTTTGTTTTTCGAAGACGGTAAGCTTCTCAATAGCAGCCTGAATATCGGTCTATTAAGTGTGTTGTTAGTGATGGCTCAGGTACGGAATTGTATAACAGAATAGACGCAGACCTTGGCCAGCTTCTCTGCCTCGGGAATCTGCTGATCAGCCTCCTTGCTGAAGTCCTTCTCGGGCTTCAGGCTCGGGTCCGCCATGATGTTGCGTTGTGGAAACGAGGGGATTGATCTGATTGTATATTGCACTCCTCAAGAAAAAACTGGCAATGATAGTATGTGACAACACAGCGCAAGTACAGCGCTGCGGATACACGGCGGGTAGGGCGGTAGGTATTGGTTCGGTGAGGCTAGACAAGTGAGGGATGATGATGATGCGAGCTAGGAACTGCGCAGGGCTACGAAGCTCCCAGGTGCCTACAGTCAGTGAGTGTAGCGCTGAAAAAAATGGGTCTGATTGCCGATGGCCAAAAGGCGTGGGGTACAGTATGATTTCCACTGTGCGAACATATGACTTTGACTGTATGAGGTTCATGCCTTTCAATTATCACGTGCTGACACGAGCTCGCTGCATCATGATCAACAACCACCTTCCCAGGGAATCAATCTGAAGAGTCCTCAAGTTCTGGAGATTATGCTCCTTTCGACACCAAATTTTCCTTTGGAGAAGCTATGAAATCAGCCGCGATTCCAAAGCAACAATGCTGTAAGCGCCAACACTACGCCCGCCGTGCTGCTGTGTATTGGTATGTGATGTACCGGATTGTCGACCAAAGAAGTTACTTAGATCGCTTTCAGCAAGGCGCGAGTAATGGAGGCAAGTTGGGTAGAATTGGAGGGTCAAGTCACATCCTTTCATAAAAGCGACGTCTCAGCAGGACAGCGAGTGTAACGTCAACTTACGCATTCATCTACTGCGAGTTAGAACACAGTGGATGCAGACGACCATCATGACAGTATTCTGGAAACAGTAGTGAACTCAATTAACTGAAGGTCTAGCCAACATCTCCCATCAATATCCTTGACATTCTTCCTTACCAGACGATCGGCGCCGGATGCTCATATCTCTCATCCCTAACATGCTCATACCTAACGCCCATTAATAATAACATGTAGATAAAGCAATGCCAAATAACCAAGCTCCTTCGCAACGCAGATACCGAATTATATGTCGTTACACAGAGAGCCAGTCAGCAATATCCTGGAATATTATCTCATAGCGACAAACATCGTCGAAGACAGCTTAATGACAATGGACTCGAATCTCTAGCATCAGACTAGAAGGACATAATACACTAGGTTGAGTCGAAAAGCCCTAAATCCCTAGTCGAAACATGATAGGTGCTTCAGATCCCGTTCTCTGAGATCTATCGTTTCTGAAAGAGCAGAAGTAGACGAGCCATTGCTCCTTCAAATATGGGCGTCTGTTACACAACTCAATATTGTCAGCTACCCCCGCTACTTGTTTTCATAACAATATCAGCAGAGGACACTTACCTGGTTGAGGTGCACATGGGTCGACACCAAAGTTGACTGTTACGCACTGCCATAAGAAATGTTCCCATGTCCCTTCTTCTTGCACTCTCTTGACTCGGTCAATAAGGTGCCGAGCTGACTCTGCCTGGCAACGGTAGCTTCCGAATCTCCACTCCAGCCGCGTGAAGTCCGTACTGCCCGCCAACTGGACAACGACTTCGTCCTGCCAAATGATGTCATCGGATCGAAATAGCATCGCCAGGTACTCCCGATTGACGATGGAACTAGGCCCCTCAATGTGCAGGACGCGGCTGACGGGACTGGGAGGTCTCGCCCTAGTTCTTATTCTGTTGTGGACGACGCGTGGCATGTAGCCGTTGACCACAAATGTGCCGTCATGGTATTGTCTAAGTAGGCTCTGAGCACCAGCCACGTCGAAGAAGACAATCTTGCTGGCGGACGTCATATGACCTTGCTCCGGTGGGTTGACGACGGCAGCGTAGACCTTTCCGCAGTTACGGACACTACCTAGAAGCATCCTGTGGTCGAGGTTGGGTGGCAGGTTCGTGATCCAGACCGACGTGTTGAGATCATCTGGGATGTTAGCCGGCTGGTTGGCACTTAGAGTTGGATCCCCCTGGTAGTTGGGCGAGACACGATAAACTAGACTCTGGATCTGTGCACGCATAGCGGCCTGCACTGGATTCTGGGTGGGAATAGCGTTGTCGGGCACTCTAAAGCGCGGCATCGGGGTATAAGGAGGTGCAACAACATTAAGCCCAGGCTGACCGTATAATGGACGTCGCTGCACCTGAGTCGGTTGGGCAAAGGGTGAATAACTCTCTGTTGTAGGCACATTCTGAATAGTTGTTCCTCTTCCCAAGTGGATACTGGAGGTGTTGCTGGCGTCGTCAACAAAGTTGTTTTGAAGGTTCTCATTCGTGTTGTTGTAGTTGGGGATGATAGGAGAGTAGAAGGGATTTGGAGGATCTCGATTAATGATGGGATAGTCGAGGAAATGCGTGTCTCTACGAGGTCCTCTTTGAAAGATGAGGTGATATCCTTCAGCCTGTGGAGGGTCTGCGTTGACAGCGCCTTGATGAGTGAACGCTACGTTGTTCATGATGCGATAATCATTCATAGCTTAGAGTAGAACTTGGTGTATCGAGGACCTCGCTGGAGCGTAAAGGCCAATTTTTTTTAGGTAATTAACGAAGAGCAGCAATGTCGTTAGTGTTCGGGCGTAGAGGCGGCAAGCTGGTTGGAAGACACGTGGTGATGGTGGAGGTACATTCAAAGCAAGATATAGAGAGCACGGGCAGGAGGCAGCAACACAGCAACCGCCCGTACATTTTTGAGCCTGGGGCAACTCGGCCCGGCAACAGTCAGAAAGGCATCGTCACGCTAGGTTAGAACCATTGTCACCTATTGATAAAGGGGACTATGTACGGCTTTTATCGATTCAACGCGTCAGGTCTGTACTGAGTAATTGGTTTCTAGAAGTATCAAGAGCGCTTCGACAACTATGATTAGTTGCCTGATTGCTTTGTCCATGAGTTGAGGAGGCTTCTGGATCTCACGTTATTTTGGGCGTGAACACAACGGGGTAAAGGAGTGTTCCACCATTCTGATTCACTAGTAATATCTTTGAGCAAGAATCACAATATGAAAAGAAACAACATGAGGAATCAAACTTGACGTAATTAAGAATGATTTCCACAGTTTCTTTCTTAGGATTATTCTCCCCTGTTCCGAAGTGGGCCGAGTGCTACTCGATTATAAAGGACCTTTAGACATACTCATGTGTTATATGAAGGGGTAACGTCAAGCAGTATGTCACGAAACAAGCAGAAAGGGACGAATGAGGAGAACAACCATAACACCTTTTCGGGAACATTAGCTAGCCGGAATTGAGTATGAGTGTCATAAACATCTTCCTTTTCGCCCCCAAGTCTCTACTGCAGGCAAGCATACTTTCCTATCTTAACAAAGGGCGTGGAAACAGATTTCGGCAGCGCCATGGCGGTAATAACCCAAGGCACCTTCTGGGGCTCCCTCGCGACCTCGCAGGATAATCACCGCCAATATGAAATCCATCGCCTGCAGACGGCGGCAGCCGCATTGAAATACTTGCTGCCCCGGCCGTGCTTCCAGCCTTATGCTAACTTGTATATTCCTAGATCCCACTACGTATTCTTGCGTGGACCCTTACGAAGCGAATTGATTGTATCCCATTCGTCCTATGCGTCGCAAAATCAGTTGAAACTTTCGATAGCAATGACTTGATTCATCTCAATTTACCTGTGTAAGCTCTCTCGGAAGCTCTACAACAAAAGCATCCTCTCCCATCTATAATTATTAGAAAACACTCCTCAAAAGACCGGGGCATATTTGATGTTGAAACGTAGCGGCCAGAACGAAGAAGCGTACTTACGTCAATTTTGATCACTTGATTAGGAAACACACCTTTTAAGAATGTCTCAAGGGTATCTTGTCGTAGCCAACGGGTTCGAATAATTTGTACCGGCATTTCGTCGTCTGATTGCTGCCCATATACGCAAGGCTTGGGTTTCGGCGTTGATGGTGCTATTGCCAATACTAATGTAGTCGTGCTGACGAGTTAGTTACGGTGACCACCTACGTGAGGCACACATCCTCGATTACTTCGCCCCCACGACCTATTTATATCAGGAGATCCCTTAAGAGGGCTCGGGCCGACAAGCATAGGGAGGCACAGATGGCTTGTATGTCAAACTCAAGGCGGCTTTCAATTGGCCGAGTCAATCACGTGGCACATATTTGTTTGCCTCGACACAAAGTCGCCTGTGGTCCGTCATACCGCCACGTTTGATATCATGGCCAGTTGTCAGGAACAAAATATGGCTGTCCAGTTCACTATGTTGCTCGTGTCCCATGATAGCAGGTATTGCTCTCTCTCTCTCTCAGAGGTGTGTCCACATATCTGTTGGCCCTCTAACTTGATGGCACGATTGCCTTCAATCGGTGAGCGTACCCTAGTATGAGCTCGCAGGGAGGAGGAGAAATTTGCACAGTGGTAGCCGATTGTGTTAAGCTGCTATGTTTCCAGGCGTCCCGGGACTCATCCAGGAACGCATTTTAATAGGAGACCATATGCTAGATTATAAAGCCGCGTGAAAATTTCCTCTGCCAAAGGTAGTTGAGATCAACGAGCATACAGAGTATGGGTGGTATAATATAATATGTATCCACCTGCTCCATTCTAATAGCCTGAGAACCCCCGTGACGTCCAATTTCATTAAATATCTCTATACCACTGCCAAGCATGAATCACACCTGATTAGGGGTAACGCCACTTGAAGAGGTCTTAGCATTTGAAGTTAGTGAAATGCTACTTACCTAAGGTATACGAGCGTTACATTCATCAGTTCTACGCTGGTAAGAGAGGTGCGAAGACCGTCTTATTTGCATGGGCAATGCCTTCGTGTCCCTTCGTGCCACTTGTCAACGCACGGTAAGCAAAAACCCTGCCTCACGACCACCCCCTATCACGACCACCCCCCCTGCCTACTAATTACCCAACTTCTGAAGCGATTTTCTCAAAGAATACGTTGTTCGCGATGCTTTTTTTGGTGTTTTCAATTAGATCTATTATTTCTAACCTTAATAACCTCTTCTATATTAATATCTTCGCGTTTTAAAATATATTAATTAATAGCTTCGTTAATATATATTAAATAATTACGTAATTTATATTTTACCTTTTATATATATATTATATAAATAAAATTATTATTAAAACCTATTTTAATTATTTTTTATTTAACCTTAATATTTTTTTAAAGTTTAACTTTTAACATTTTAATCTTTATTTATAAAAATGTAATAATTTTAACCTTTTTATTAAAGGCCTTATTAACCTTTATAAAAAATAGCCTTTATAATAAATTATTAAACGAAAGGAAGGTTTAAGTTAATTTTTATATATTAACCTATAATTATTAACTTTTAAAAGGTATTTTAATTATAATTTTCGAAGCTATTTTTAATAAATTAAATATAATAGGTTATTCTTTAATTATAAATATTAATATTATTACTTTTATAATATCTTTATTTTTAAATATTATATATTTTAAAAATAATAATATTTATTAATTTTTTAAATATATTCTAACTATTTTTTATACTTTTTTTAATATATTTAACTTTATTATATTTTTATATATAGCTTTATATATTATTAATATATATTTTTTTAAAGGCTTTATATTTAAATAACTTATAAATATTTTTTATAGTTTATTTTTTAACTTTTTTTTTAATAAATTAAAGATTTTAATATTTAATAATTATAATATATAATTATAATAAGGTTTATAAAATAAAAGTTAAATTTTATTTAAAAGGTAAATTTAAAAAAAACTTATTATTAATATATAATTTATAATTATTATATATTAATATATATTATATATTATTATAATAGCTTTAAATATAAAGTATAAAAAGGTTTTATAATTATTTTAATATTATAAAATTATTAATTTATTTATTAAATAAATATTTAAAGTATTAATTTTTAAATAAGTTTTAATTTTAATTTAAAAATTATTAACTTTATATTTATATATCCTTTTAAATTATTAATAATAATAAAGTATTATTAATAATATTAATAGTTTTAAAAATAATAATTTATTTACTTTTTTTAATAGCTTTTTTAAAAGTTTAATATAAAATAAAGTTAATAATTATTTAATAATTATTATTAATGCTTTAATTTATATTTATTTTATTAATATTATAAAAATAGTTAAAAAGAATATTTATAATTTTTAAAGTTTTAAAATAATTAAAAAAAAGGTTATATTATATTATAGTATTTTAAGGCTTTTGGAATATATATACTTTATATATATTATATACCCTTCCTATATATATTTTAAAGGAGATTTTTCCCTTTTTTAAACTTTAATCTTATTAAATACCTATTATAAAATTAAAAAGACTTATAACATTATACTTAACCTTTAAGATTTAACCTACCTATAATAATTTTAAAGCTTCCCCTTTAAGGTTATTTATAACGTTATTAATTACGATATGCTTACGTATAAATAGATAATTAAAGTTAGCGCTTTTTTAGGAAATTTAGATTAAGGAAAGTCTTTAATAATAGTTTAAGGACGAAGCTAGTATAATTTATTTCCGGGAAAATAATAAACTTAAAATTAATTATTAAAATTTCCTAATAACCCTAATCCGATAAATAAAGCTAACGCTTAATTATTATAATAAATAAATGCTTAACTTTTAATTAAAATTGTAAAGCTAAAGAAATAACTTTTTAAAGAAAAGAAGGTTGCCCAAAGTTTGAAGGCAACCTATACCCCTTCCAAATTATATTCGAATAAAAGAGGAAAAAACTTAAAAACATTAAGTTTAAATAAATTAGAATATTGCTTTAACCTTAATAATTTATAAATTCCTAGTAATTAATAATATTATCGGAATTAAAAAAAGGGTAATCCTAATAATAATAACCCTTTATTATTTAGCTTTAATATAAAGTATAGTTAGAATAGTTATATATATTAATTATATTTGAATTATATATATTATTATAAATGCTATTCCTTTAAGGAAGTTAATTTAAATTAGCTTTTTAAATTTAATTATAACCTTCTTAATATAGAATTTATTTATTTAAAATAGTTGGAATAAATAAAGGAATTAAAAACTATATTCCATAAGGTTAATTATAAGTTTAAAACTAATACCTTTAAAATTCTTTATATATATAATAAAATAGATAGGGATTATAAGAATATATATTAAATTATAAAGAAAAAGTTTAAATATATAAAAAAAAAGTAAATAAAATTTAATTAGGATACGTTTTTAAATTAGATTAAAATTTTACTATATTAATTATCCTTCCTATAGGTTAGCATTAGTATATAATTTAAAAGGGCTATATAATATATTAATTAAAACCTAAAACTTTTTAACTAATATTTAATTAATATTAAGAGTTAAAATTTAAAACGAAATACAGGTAAAAGAGCTTTATTATACTATTAAAAACTAAATAAACCTTTATAAAAGGAATTAATAAATTTTTATAACCCTTTATTAAAG